GTAAATCTTATCACCCTGGTTAGGACAAGGCATAGGTCTTCTGCTCCTTTGTTTAAACTATTTCTTCTTGCACAGAAGAACCTCATGATAGCTATTTTAAAGAAAGTACCCTGTCAGCTAACCCACATGGCGCAGCAGACTACTCCTGCCTCACACGCTGCTCCCCTCAGCAGTGTATTTCAGCCTTTCTGCTTGTTCTGTTCCCCGCTCTGTCTCTGGTGAATCCTCTCCCCTCATCTCCCGCACCTATGACCTACACCCCAGCTCTTGTATGCATAAATAAATAAACTAAATCTTCAAAAAAAGAAAGTTCCCTGTCTTCTCCTTGGACTTTAGGGAACAGCAGGGGCATGAATGGAGGTTCTTATTGAGACTCCATTCCCCTGACCTACACAATGCCTGAAGCTGGTGGAAGACACAGATTCAGAATCAAGAACTTGGGTCTGTTCCCAGGGCAGACCCACCTGCTAGGTGACTCGCAGGTTTCTGGACAGACCTGCCATAAGCAAAATCTGCATCCTGTTGACCTGGTGGTAATTATATATAAAGCCTTGCTATTTTGGAGAAAAGTAGGAAAGGGGAGGGATTCTATGGGGCTCCATTAACATTGTGCTTCTGGATACCAAGGCAAGCACAGCTCCTCACCATTCTGTTTTTTCTAGCTGCTTTCTTCAGCATTACTGAAAAGCATCCCAGATCTGCTACTTGTATTCCTTGAGAGAATAGAGAGGCTCCTTTAGAGAGGCAGGAAGGGATGGGTGAATTGCATGAGAATCCTTTCCACTTCCACTAAAGGGGATATGGGATCCAATCTGCTTGGCCTTCCACAGTTCTTCTGCCACCTGTCCCAGGGACCTGCCTCAGAGCCAGCACCTCCTCAGCCTCAGATTCAGGCTGCTGAGCAGGAACCTTTGTCCTCTTCTGTTTCCTGGATTTTTGTTCAAGCTGTGGCGGCCTTAATCCTCTAAGCATGTCCAAGTCAGTCCTAACCTTAACCCCGATTTTCCTGTTCCTGGTGATGATAGTAGTATATATGTGCTGGGGGTATCGAAGCACAGTGCACCTTTTTTCCACAAAGCTCTTTGAACACGTTGCACCTAGAGCAGCTAAGAGAAAAACCTGGTAATTTGACTTGCAGCCAAACATTTTCAGCATCAGACTAGGTCTCCATGGAACCCAAATACCAAATATCCTTCAACCTCCATTCCTCACCTCATCTCTTAGGAAACAAGATGCAAAAAGCAAGTGTTTTGGTCTGCTACTTCCTCACAGCATCCCATTCCAATTAAATCAGGTTCTCCAAGAGTTCAACCATTGGTTTCAAGTGGCTGAGCCATAAACTGGTTTTCTTTTTTCATCTTTCGTGGCCAACCCCAATAAAGGTCTCAGCTCCTTTCTTATTAACTAATACCAACAAATATAACCCTGGTCTGTTGATCGTGGCCAGAGGAAGACCAGCTCAAAGGAGATGGACCCACAGATGCAAGGGTCTTTCCAATGTCCTCATTGAAATGGAGAGTGACTTGTGACTTGTTAGTTATAGGCGATTAGTGAGTAGTGATGTTCTTGAATCTGCTTCCTTACCTAGGATTTCCCAAGATTAGGACTGCTATTCACAATTGATGCAGAAGGGCAGGCTACTATAAACCAGCAAGAGGTTAGTTTCCTTACCATCACCTCCCAGATGAAGAAAGTGGCATTATCCTTGCTTTGTAAATGGAGACCTTGATAACATCCAAGGGTACTACTGGCCATGAGAAAATCTACTATAACTCAAGATCTGAAGGTTGCTTTTTGGTTCCCTTAAAAATTAGCCTTTGCCAGATGACAAATTCAGTTCAAGACCTATTGAGTATTTTGCTTCTGACATTGTTATGTTCTGTGGGAAAATTACAATAGGTCAATTATGCCCAGAGTTGCTTGCTGTTTTCTAGGAGAGGCGAGACATGATTGCTTTTGACAGTTTGAAAACCAAGTGATGACTCGATAAATAAAATGTGATATCCATACAATGAAATAATACCTGAGAGTTAAAAGAAATGAAGTACTGATGGGTGCTACAACATGAAAGAACCCTTGAAAACATTAAGTGAAAGAAGCCCGTTAAAAAAGATTGTAATTGTTGAATTCCACTGATGTGAAGTGTTCAATGTAGGCAAATCTATAGAGACAGAAAGTGGTTTCCCTAGCCAGAAGATGGAGGATGGAGAGCACAGGGTTTCTTTGTGGGGTGAAAAAAAGTTCTGACATGAGATTGTGGTCCTTAACTTTGAATATACTAAAATTCATTGAATTGTACGCTTAAACGAATGGATTTATGATATGTGAATTATATCTTAATAAAGATGCTGAAGTAATCCAAGAATGTATGTAATTGAGTGTGAATTTGTGTGGTTCAGACATAGCTATACAGAAAATTAGGGCAGCGTAGAGACACTAGTGCAAACAGAAGCTTCCTGGACATTTTGCATGGTGCGTGTTGAGAGTAGTCCTGGGTTATGAGGACTCTAGAAAGGATCCGACAGTCTTGGGCAGAAGTAAGTTTTGCTGTGGGGGGAGGATGCAATTGATGCAGAGAACAGCCAAACTTGGAGGGAAGACAGGGAGAAAAAGGCAGCATAGAAAGGTAGGCAGAGATTATGAGAAGCCTAAACAGTCGAGCATGACTGTAGATTTTTTTCTGTACACAGTTCTGGATCTTGATTAGGAGAATAATGGGACAAAGTGCACCAAGCCTGGAGCATCAGGGACAGGGGGAAAATAAACTTGGTTCTTGAGCCTTCCTACAACTCATGTAGAAGAGTTTCATTTGAGTGTCCTGGTTGGAATGAGTGAGACGTTTTGTATCCAAGCTAGAAGTAGCAGGAGCCGGTCTTAACTGTTTTCTCTTGGGGAAATGTCCAGGTTCTCTTTGCTGCCACATTTTTGTCTCTAAGACCTGTTGAAATGGGCTGTATGATGCCAGAGGCTAAGAATTTGAATTTACTGAATTTACTGTTTGACCAACGGCTGGTACAGATCACGAGTTGCAAAATATTTAATCAGTGAGGTCACTGGAGGGAAATGAGATTTGATCAATAGGAGTGTCTGCTATTTTCCTTAAGGCTCAAATCTGAACTGCTTTTGTTTTGCCTTCTTTGCTCAAAACCACAAATATTAAAAATGGAAAGAATAACTTTTCTTTAAGACCCACAAAAACTTATTTTTGATGGCTTGTGTGGTCGACTCACCTTTGTGGTATTTCTCTTGACCCGATTTCACAAAAATAAATGAGTGCTAGCCTGCTGGTTTCTAAACCCTTTTAAAGCAGCACCCCCTTTTTGATGACTCAGTATTTACCCAGTATTGACAACAGAGCCCTTGGATTACAGGGCCAGGCTAGCCTTCATCAAGGCCCCTCTGAAGAAAACTCTTAGTCCTTGGTACCTGGTGCCTTCCTCTGCCTAGGACACCATTTCTAGTGGACACCTATTGAATGCTTCAGCGTCTGTGGAAATGCGGGTAGTAAAGGAGAACAGGGTGTTCACAAGGGAGACAATGAAGAGGTAGTGTGATTGTGCATGTGAGTATCACATTATTCAGCAAGCTTTCATTGGGCAACTCTTGTGTGCCATGTACTGTTCTAGGTGCTGGAGATCTGAAGGTAAATATGACATGTTCCCACCCTCAGGACCCATTTGAGAATGAAGACTTCCTGCAGTGCAACAGGAAGTATGGTTGGGTGGTAGAAGGTCACCTGACCCAAAGGCTTCAAGGGGGGATTCCCAGCAAGGCAGGGCTTATGGGTGGACACTGCAGCACGGGGAGACTGCTGCCTTCCAGAACATATATTTCAGAGCCTCATATATCAGGAACCTACAGGGAGTCCCAGGTGAGCCTCTGGTGAACAGATGGTGAGAAATCAGGCTGCAGAAGTCAGGAGGTGGTTGTGAGCTACAACAAGCTCATTGTTTTCTTGGGAGGAGGACAGTGGCTGAAGATGCGCAGAGCACCTTTGAATATACTGAAAAGACATAGAATCTGCATCCCCTTGTGAGTGAAGAGGGAGACGCCCCTTCAGGGTGTCCATCTCCAGGCCTTTTTGTGAACGCCAGAGCAGGCCGGCGAGGGGAGCATGGGTGTGGGGACGGGTCCCATCACATCTTGTGAGCTGTGGACCACCGGGTCTGGGGACAGAGGTGAGGGGGAAAGACTGTGTGTGCCAGGCCCCTAGGAAAGAAGGTGGGGAACTTGAGCGGGGGACCCTGCCGTGCGATGAGGAGAAAGAAGCTTTGTGTGCAACAGCTCATGCTGCCAGAGCAAGTGTGGGTTTGTGGCAGCTGCAGGCTCCGTTCCTAATATAGTCAAAGGCTCCCAGGCCGCTGGTCCACACCTGTTTGCTAGAGGTTCCCCTGAGCTGACCTCTCCTTGGGCTGCCTTTCTCTATACATCTCATGGATCTGACTCATGGGGGGCCAGACACCACCACCCCCAACACTTGAACCAAGAGCCTTCATCGACAAATTGCCTTCTCACGTGGGTGGGGACTGCTGGATCTTTGAGGGGTGGGGTTTGTTCAGCTGTTCCTAGGAGGAGGGTAAGGCTGACCTAACCAGAAGGAAATGGGGTATTCTACTGGAAACTGGCCATTTTGGGCAACAAGCTGAGTGTGTGGGGTGGGGACACTCTGGATACAGAAAAGTTGCTGGGAAGGGCCAGCCTTCCCCCCCACGATGGAGGGAAATGAAACTCGAACCGCTTAATGCTGCTGCAGCTGCTTCCTAACTTTGCCTCTTTCTTCCTTTGGCCTTTGGAGGAGTGGAATAGAGAAGAAGAGTTGGGGGTTCCCAGATAGCAGTCACTTTCAACTGAGCCATATTTCAGTTCCTCCCTCCCCAGCTCTGTAGCCTCCTGGGATGTGTAGCTCAGTGCGTCTAGCATAAATCCCTTTATCTCTCTCCTCCTTCCCTCTCTTCCTCTCCCATCCCTTGGTTCCTCTTCCTGGCCCCTGTGGGTGGCAGCAGCCCAGCCCTGGGGAGCCCCTGTGGAAGTGGAGTCCTTCCTGGTCCACCCTGGTGACCTGCTGCAGCTTCGCTGTCGGCTGCGGGAAGATGTCCAGAGCATCAACTGGCTGCGGGACGGGGTACAGCTGGTGGAAAGCAACCGTACCCGCATCACAGGGGAGGAGGTGGAGGTGCGGGATTCCGTGCCTGCCGACTCTGGCCTCTACGCTTGCGTGACCAGCAGCCCCTCGGGCAGTGACACCACCTACTTCTCCGTCAATGTTTCAGGTTGGTAGCAAAGCCCTGCCCTCACCCCATCCTGGACCTACCCCTCCCTCCAACCCTTTCTGCTAGTTTCAGGGGGAGGTGAACCTCCTCCCCCTCCATGATCTGCCCCCACTCTGCTTCAGAAACTGCTGCCCACTAACATTGCTCCCTGCCAGCCGCGTGGCTTAGCTCTCAGAGGGGGAACTGGTGGTGTGGGCCCCAGTCCATCTGGGACTTCCCAGGTCTGCCTCAAAAGTGGTTGCTGATCCTCTGGGGGGGGGCAGGGGGGCAATAAAGCTTGCCCGGATCTCTAGGGTGCTAGGTAGGGCGCCATCCTCTCACTCCCTTCCCATTTGGACTTGGTACTCCACTTAGTAATCAGAGCCCGAAAATACACAGTGAGGTCCCTCCCCTCCTGTGATAGGTAAGGGTCCAGGTGCACCGCACTAGCCCAGGCTTTATGGAAAACATCTGTCCTCCAGCTTCCAGAGCTAGAGGGATCTGCCACTTCTAAAATGCCACTCACAAAACTAAGATTAAACTAAGTAGAGCTGAAATTTTCTTTTGCCATGTGTGCATCCCAGGTTTCGGACTTGGCACCTCCTCCCCATCATTTAACACGCCACGAACTGAGGAAACTGCCTCCTTTATTTCCCTCTAGATCCTGAAAGCACTAGGAAGGACTGGGGAAAGGTCTGGTCTGAACCATGATTGGTGACCACATGTGTGTCAAGCCTCTTAAAGGGGGTGGATCCTTGTTGGGGAGAGCTGTTGGCAGCTGTGGATTGTGTGGTGGGCTGCCTATCTGCTCAGGTGAAGAAGGGCAGCTCCCAAACCTTAGCAGATGTGTGCTAGAAAAATTCTAACTGGGGGTTGTTCAGCCCATGGCTTTGGAAATTGCTTCTGGCAGCAGTGTGCCTAGATCTGTCTGGATTTCCCGATGGTTGGCATTCCAAAGGAGAATACAGTTCTCTGGGTTCTAGTTCCAAAACCTAGCCTGTCCGGAGGCTACCATGAGTTGAGGAATCCTTTGGAGAGAGAGTGACTGGGGGAGAGTCAGTATGGGGAGCAGTGTCTGTTCTGTAACTGTATTGGGCCACCCCCGGGGTGGCTGTTGAGCGATAGAAATCGAGAGCCCCCTTTCCCTTGGAGGGACCTCATCGCCCCTTTGTCCTTTCCATAGATGCCCTCCCTTCCTCAGAGGACGACGATGATGATGATGACTCCTCTTCAGAGGAGAAAGAGACAGATAACACCAAACCAAACCGTATGCGTGAGACACTGTTTCCTACCTTACTGCCTTTTGGCGCTGGGCACTGGGTTTGGGTGGGACAGGGGGAGCTTGGTTGCTTGGTTGCTTGGTTGGAGAGCAGGAGGAAAGGCCATGTGGGTTCATGATGCTTGGTCCCCCAGGCATTCATTATTTACAGGTGTTAGGCAGGCAGGTGGGGCCCTTCCAGGTGTTGGCCTTGGCCCCTTGCTCCTAAGCCTAACCTGCCACCCTGCGTGTCCCTCTTGGCTTTCCCTGGGCAGCCGTGGCTCCATACTGGACGTCCCCAGAAAAGATGGAAAAGAAATTACATGCAGTGCCAGCTGCCAAGACGGTGAAGTTCAAATGCCCTTCCAGTGGGACTCCTAATCCCACCCTTCGCTGGTTGAAAAATGGCAAAGAATTCAAACCTGACCACAGGATTGGAGGCTACAAGGTAGGTGTGTGTATACAAAAGTTGGAATAAAAAGAACTGGAGAACGTGACTTAAAACATTCTTACTGTATGCCTTTAATTGTTTAAAATAATGTGTGCTAATTATATAAGTAAAACACTGTAGAAAAAATTCAAATATAAAATACAAATAGGGCCTCCCTGGTGGCGCAGTGGATTGAGCATCGCACTATAAGGCAATCCGCAGCCTCTGCAGTAGAAGTTCGATCTCTGGCTGACTAGGGAGCAATCCACATGGCACAGCAGACCTCACCTGTCGCGCCCGATGCTCCCCTCAGCAGTGTATTTCACTCAGTCTGCCTGTTCTGTTCCCCGCACTGTCTCTGGAGTCCTCTCACCCCCCGCGTCTTTGGCCTGTACCCCAGCTCTTGTATGCATAAATAAATAAATCTAAAAATAATAATAATAAAATACAAATAAAGGTAAAAAATCTTTTCAATCTTTTTTTTTCTATGTAGATGATTTTCACATAGTTGATCACATTATTTTTAGATAATTCCTTGTCATTTATTACCATTGTAGCCTGAACTCTTTACCATGTGTTTGAATAATTTTTCACCACAGCATAATATTCCACTATTAAAATATCCCATAATTTATCAAACAATTATGTAGTACGAGTTACTTTCTGGGTTGGTTTTTTTTTTTTTTTTTCTCTATTTAAATAATGTTACAGGAAATGTTTTTGTGCTCAGATCTTTATCAGCATCTTTAAATTTCCTTGGGACAGATCACTGAAAGTGAAGTTACTCATTCCAAGTATAAGCTTTTTTTTTTTTTTTTTTTAAGATTTATTTATTTATTTATACAAGCACTGGGTACAGTCAGAAGCGCGGGAGGGTGAGAGAATTCACCAGAACCAGAGCGGGGAGCAGAACAGGCAGACTGATGAAATATATTGCTGAGGGGAGCAGCGGGCACCGCAGGAGAGGTTGGCCAGGGGTCGAACTGGCGCTACAGAGGCTGCAGGCAGCTTCGCAGTCCAGCGCTCAACCACTGCGCCACCAGGGGAGACCCCAAGTATAAGCATTTTTAAGCCCTTGGTGCAAATTACCCAATTACTTATTTTCCTGGTAATTAGGGAATTTCATTCATTCACTTATTTATTACATGGACATTTCTTGAACACATGTCTTTCAAGAAAATACACTAGGCAATAGAGGGTTCAGAGTCCAAAAAGTCATAAAATTTTACTGTGATAATTGTTCAAATAAAGGACAGATGATGTAGATTATGAGTTGGGGTGAGATTTTATTTTTAAGTTTTATGTTATTGTTATAACAATTACTTTCTTAAAAGGGAAAATTAATTTACCCTCCCATAACAAGGTCTAAGAATGACAAGATCACTATATTCTGCCAATAGATTTCATAGATGCAAGTATCTCATTGTTCTGTCATGCATCCTTTTGCTTATTAGTGAACTTAGAATTTTCATATGTTAATACATGATTTCCATTTCTTGTTGTATAAATTATTTGTGTCCTTTTGCCAACTTACATTTCTAAGGAGACCATCTTCATTGTAATCTTTTCTTTAAAGATTTTGATCATCCGTAGCTTCCTGTTTTCTCTCACATCTCACCTAGACATTCATTTCTCTTTAATCTTGTTAAGAAAAGCAGAAGTCATTAAGAAATAGGGGGGAAAAATAGGGAAGCCTTTTAAATCCTCTCCAAATACTTTTGTGTACAAGGCACTGTGCTATGGGTGATACTGATGGCACTTCTGCCCATAAAGAATTGTTAGTGTGCTGTGAAGGCAGACATCCATGAGCACCAACTAAAAAATGGAGGTAAAAACAATTCTAACTCGAGATTTGGCTGGAGGTGGTGGCTTTGGGGATGAGCTGTCAAGGGCAGAGAGGCCTGGACTAAGCAGGATGCTGTGGCACAGCAATGGCATGGACAGAGGCACAGTTGGGAAATTTCCCGGGTGTTTGGGAGAGTGAAGAAGTCACTTTTGTACCCATCATGAACACCTTGGTTATTTTGGGTAGATTTCTAGAGTTCCTCACTTCTGTCGCCAGTTAGCCTGATGTGTTCTTTCAGGATATAAATAGGCAGGGGTGGACAGCCCATGCCTTATCCTGGCTCACTGCAAGCATGAGCTATGTGCTCTGTGCTCTGATTGAAGGGTAAGTACCACGTGGCATCAATGCCACCAAGTGGCTCTGCCTTCATTTTCCTCCAGACCCTCAGTGGAGCCTTTTGGCATGTTCCCCTCAGGTCCGTTATGCCACCTGGAGCATCATAATGGACTCTGTGGTGCCTTCAGACAAGGGCAACTATACCTGTATCGTGGAGAATGAGTATGGCAGCATTAATCACACCTACCAGCTGGATGTTGTGGGTAAGAAGAAACATGGTCATGGGAGTATATTGCTGACAGCGGAAGAGAAAAGGTGCTTGAGAAATGGTCACGGGGTCCAGGGCTACATAGGGACAGAGTCCACACAGTGTTGGCACTTGTCAGGTCTGTCACCTCAAACAGATGACTTTCCCCTTATGACTTTCAATTTTCTGAACTGTAAAACTTAGCATAAAAGTCGTGGGGGCCTCCCCCTCCCCAGTGGTGCAGGAGTTAAAGTCTCAGTGTTATCAGGCTGTTGCCAGCCACTGCAGCATGAGTTCGATCCCCAACCAGGGAGCTAACCCACATGGCACAGCAGACTTCTCCTGTCTCACCTGCTGCTCCTCTCAGCAGTGTATTTCTCTAGATCTGCCTGTTCTGCTCCCCACTCTGTTTCTGGTGAATCCTCTCAACCCCTACCCTCCACCCCTGCACCTCTGGCCTAGACCCCAGTTCTTAAATGCGTAAATAAAAAAATAAATCTTTAAAAAAAAAGTCACTGTTGGTTCCTGAGAATCAGCAACATGCTAGGTATCTTAAATACATCACGTGCCATTCTCATGGCACCCCTGCACAGTGGGCACTGTTGTTCCAAGTATATAGAAGAGCAAACTTGAGGTTCAGAGAGGTCAGACATCTAATTAATGCAGAACTAAGGCCTATGCTGACTCCAGGGCATCCTACAAGATACTAGGGAGAATGTCCTGCTCTGAGTGCTGTCATTGTAACCTGTTTCTTCTGGAGGTTCTCAATCTCATTCTCTGGAGATCCTAAGGTAATGAGTTTCACAGCCTGCATTCTGTCTTGGTTTTGAGGCTATGGTCCAAAAAGAAACATGTGCTCCAGGAGGTCTGGGGGAGGATTTGAGACTCAGCATTTCCAACAGTCTCCTCAGTGGTGCTGGAGTGCCAGGACCGCACTTTGAACAGCAGGCATCTAAATGACTATGATTTTAGTCTAAGAGAAGTAAGGTTAGGCTGTGCTGAAGTCCAGGAGTGTGCTACAGGCTTCTCATTAAGGCAAAAGAGACTTCTTAGTCCTGTGAATATGGATGCATTGCTTTGGGGAGAAGGTTCCCGGTAGCCTTGGACCTGAGGAAAAGGTGTTTTCCCTCAGCTCAAGTTTATGGGGTCGGGGCTCATTAGAGACTCTGGGAGGTACACTGCCTGTCACTAGTTGAGTCTCTGGGGAGTGCACTTCACTTTGGTGGTCTTTGGATACCATCTGTCAGCATACCAGCCAGGAACAGGCCAAGAACAGTCTGATGAGCCTCTCCTCTCCCTTCCTCCACAGAGCGGTCCCCTCACCGACCCATCCTGCAAGCAGGGCTGCCTGCCAACAAGACAGTGGCCCTGGGCAGCAATGTGGAGTTCATGTGTAAGGTGTACAGTGACCCACAGCCCCACATCCAGTGGCTAAAGCACATCGAGGTGAATGGGAGTAAGATTGGTCCGGACAACCTGCCTTATGTTCAGATATTGAAGGTAATCTTGACCCTAGTCTCCGTGCGCTGAGTGCTGGGACACAGACCAGTATGTCCCAGGACCCAAGTTGCTGTGGTCAGGCTCAGTGCCCACAATTGGCACACATCCCTTGCCCTCAGGCACATGCGCCACCTTAACTCTGGAACTAGCCAGTTCCCCGGGACTACTGACTGGTCACAGAGTAAAGCTGTGATGGGAACAGAGGACTCTGGGGTTGGTAGGCAGTGCTGGTTTCTAAAGAGCTATAAGAGTGACTTTGCTTGGGCCTTTGGGTTGACTAGTCAAGGGAGACCTTTGAAATACTTTTTTACTGCCCAGGGCCAAAAGCTTTGCAGCTAGCATTTCCCAGTCTCTGCTTTGTTTCCCAAGTCACATTCTTTCTGGCAAGTGGGCAGATGAGAAGAACATAGCTTAGGTAGAGTTGGAAAAACAAATGCCACAGGTAAATTCTAAGTCATATCAGGAGTAATGGCATTTTCTTCCTTTTTCCTCTCACTCCCAGACTTTCATTGTCCCTGAATGCTCCATTAATCCAGGGAAGGTAATTGCCTTATTTTCTAGTGGATCTTGCAGCAGGAAGTAACCAGAGCTGGGAAAGTGGTTTATCTCCTGGTCCCAGAGTTAGACCTTCATCCTCCCCCAGCTTGGCTGCCCCAAAGACTTGCTGACCATCCCTTCTCTTCGCTATGGTGTTGAAACTACTATGTAGGAACTGGCCCATGCCTTGGGCCTTGGCCACTGTCTCCATTCATAATCTGCCTTCATTCCAAAGGAGTGGGTTCCACACAAGCAGCATTTGATTGGGGGCAGGGGGTGGGGAGCAGTGATTTTTTTTTCATTTTTTTAGTTTATTTTTTGCTCACATGCTTTGGACTTTTGAAGTCAATTTGTTTTTAAGAAGGAAAGGCTAAGTGTCACTGAATATCTCCCTTGCCTTAGCTCCCTGAGCCTGCCTTAAAGTTACATGGGAGCAAAGTACAGCCACATCTCAGTGTTTGCCCAACTGACTGGCGTGTCGTTGGTTTGTTCCAGCATTCGGGGATTAATAGCTCGGATGCGGAGGTGCTGACCCTGTTCAATGTGACAGAGGCCCAGAGCGGGGAGTATGTGTGTAAGGTTTCCAATTATATTGGTGAAGCTAACCAGTCTGCGTGGCTCACTGTCACCAGACCTGTGGCAAAAGGTAATGGGGAGATGGATGGGGCCCTGTGCTGGGAGTTTGATTTAGGCCCCAAGCTGCTGGGGCAGGTGGGGAGCCAGCACCGAACTCTCCCTGTTATCCTGCTGTTTTCCTAGTGCCCACAGCCATGGAAAAATACCTGGCCTGGGAGGCTGGTTTGGTTTGGTACTGTGTTGGTGTCTCTCCCTCTGTGCCTTCTGTGTGGTCCTTGGCTGTGTGTGCACTTGTGGGGAGTCTTGCTGCCTTGTGAGTGATTCTGCAGACTGAAGATTTACATGGTGGAGGAGAGAAGGGTCAAGCGTGCCCTTGCAGACCAGCGTCCACAGGCTGTGCGTGCGTGTGGCCGTAGCATCCTTCCATCCCTCTTGTGTGTGCCCTCTGGCTTTCTTTACCTGAAACCAAACAGCCCCCCTTCCGCCGGGCCCCATTTCTCCATGCTGCCCACTGCCCGCATGCTTGGATGGGCCAGGGGCTGCAGCATCTGGTGAAGGGTCGTAACCAGCGTCGTCATCTCAGGCGTGCCAGAGTGCCTCCCTGAGGGTCTCACACTCTTCCTCTAACAGGTCTCGCTGCCTGGTGGTTTTTGTTTGTTGTTGTTGCAAAGGAAACGCTGGGGAGCATTCCTTCCTCTGGTTCCCCCCCTTCTCTTTCTCCCTCCCTCTCTCTGTGTCTTTTGGAGGTCTCATGCCCTGTGCTTGTCCATTTTGCTTCCGTTGTCTCTTCTAGACTGCCGGAGTTAATACCACCGACAAAGAGATGGAGGTGCTTCACTTAAGGAATGTCTCCTTTGAGGACGCGGGGGAGTATACGTGCTTGGCGGGTAACTCTATCGGACTCTCCCATCACTCTGCATGGTTGACCGTTCTGGAAGGTATACACTGTACTTCTCCTCTCGATGTCCTGCCCTTGCGATGGGCACGGGGGGAGCATGCATTGCTGGGCTGGGGGAGACTCAGAGCCGGGACAGGGAGCTGCAGCAGTTTGATCAACCTTGAGGGTGAAATCTACTTGGCTCACACAGGAGCTGTCCTCCTTTTGCAGGACTGTGGGGACCTCCCCCGGTACACCTGCGTCTGGCTCTCCCCTTTGCCAGTGCAATGCATGCATGGGATCTGGATTTAACCTGTAGCTGGGCTCTTCTCCAGGGCAGCCTCCTTCCATCCTTGGGCACAGCAGCCTTCCCTCGTCCACTCTGTACTGAGTGTCAGTCAGCCCCAAAAGTTTCAGAAAGGGCTCCACTCCTCCCCTAACTGAATGTAGCCACTCTATAAACTGGAATTTACAGCTTATAAGGAACAAAGCTGACCCAGCCTTCCATACTGCAGTCTTCCAGTTTTGAAGGAAGAGATGTCCTACCTGGATGTGTGAACTCAAACTACTCTTACATAATGCCTGTCTCAAACAGCCTCCAGAGGCCTGATGATGCCCATTTACCCTCTTTGGCTACTGACTCTGCGGGACAGGAAGGAAGGAGCCTGCAGCCTGCTCGGGTGGTGGGCTGGTGACTGCAGGGCTGGAGCGTGGTGTTGCTGCTCTCTGAGCGTGCTGCACGTGGGTGTGGGTGTGGTGCTGTTCCTGTAACTGCTGACACTGCCCTTTCCTCTTCTCCCCACCCTTTCTCTTCTGCCCTGCCTGCCTCACAGGGTCTGATAACGCCCCTGTTGGAGGCAGAGAAGCGTTCTGTTTTTATCATTGTCACTGTCTGTCCTGCGTGTGCTCCCAGTTAGTTGTCTTCTCAACGCTGGGGAAAGAGAAAAACAGAAACACTTCTTGTTATCAGCTTTGCTGTCCCCTGTTGGGCCTTGGGAAGTTCTCTTTAGGCTCAGTTTGGGGGCATACCTTGTGGCTCCCCGGGGAGGTCCCCTGGGTGCCTGCCCTTGTGGCTGGCTGGTGTCTTTGGGAGGTGTTGGGGAGCGCTGTGGAAGGAAGAAGGACAGTCCGGAGGAAGGAGTGTCTGTGAGGGCACTTGCTGCAGCCTTGGGGGCGGAGCGGGCGGAGGGAAGGTTTGAACTGATGGGCTTCCATGGGAACTAGGTGAATTCTAAACAAAAGCTGAGAAAAAAGAAAACATGCCCTCCTTCCACTTTCTTTCTAAGTTGAAAGAGTTAGGGGCCTGTGAGTAGGATTCTTAAAAACTAGAAAAGTTTTAAGTTTTTATCTAGAGCTGTTCAGGCCTGTTTGGAAATTCAGTCAGTTTTACTTGTGGTCTGGCTAGTATTTACATGTCTGACCTGACACAGGTGACAGACAAACGGTGGGACATCTTGTCAGGATGCAAATTGGTTCTGCCCTCCCTACATTGGTCCTCATTTAGTGCCACTATATGCCACGTGCTGTGACAAAAATTTGCTAGGTACCTTCCTTGCCCTCCAGGCACTCATGGGCTCGTTGGAACAAAGGACTCAGGCAGTTTACCTGTCCCCATGTGCGAGGTGTGTGCATGCCATGCTGAGGTGCTGCAGAAAAGGGCATCTGGAGCAAGAGGCTTCTATCTCAACTGTCTTTGCAGGGTACTTGGTACCCATCTAGCCAAGCAGTCCAGCTGAGCAGTCCTGAGGTGATGGGGATGGGCCTCTTTAGGAATGTCTGGTCTAGTCTCTTTTGAGGCGTTCGACTCAGGGTCAGGAAGGCTCAACCATTCCCAGATGTCTGGTTTCTCAATGACAGAACCTCAGTTCTAGGTCAGACATGGTTTGGTTCTTCTTGCCCTAAGATTCTCAGAGGGAAGGAGATGGGTGGTATTTTTCTTATGAAACTGGGACCCCAGTGGACTGGGCCCCACAGCCTGCTAACTTTCTGTTCACACTGACTCAGCCCTGGAAGAGAGACCTGCAGTGATGACCTCGCCCTTGTACCTGGAGATCATCATCTATTGCACAGGGGCCTTCCTCATCTCCTGCATGGTGGGGTCTGTCATCATCTACAAGATGAAGAGCGGCACCAAGAAGAGTGACTTCCACAGCCAAATGGCTGTGCACAAGCTGGCCAAGAGCATCCCTCTGCGCAGACAGGTAACAGAAAGTAGATAGGGGATTTGCACGCTCCACATCACCTTCTTTCTTTGTGTCTGGGGCTTCTCCAAGGGCAACTCACACTTTACCCTCTTCTCTCTCCCTAAACTACACTCAGGCTTTGCTTTCTGGCTTCTGGGCCAGGGTCAGTGTAATGTCCTGACATAAGTGCTCCAGAGTTGGGTTTCCAGTTGTTCTAGCCCCTGAATACCCTCTCCCCACCAGACCCTGACTCGAGAGTGCTAACTAGGCTGAGTGTGCCACTGGTATTGCACATTTGAACTGTCCCTGGGGGTCAGTTAAGGGTATAGAGACTACAGAAGAGACCGGAGTGGGCCCCTGGGTGCCCTCTCTATCCAGTGTGCCCATGCCTGCTCATCAAAGGAAATGCATAGAGGTGAAAGTGTGTGAAAAGAGGGACTGCTAATTCCAGAAAGTACTTTGGGAGTTAGGAATCCATAATCTGAGGCAAGGTTTCACAAATAATCTGGACAGTAGAGTTGCAATGAGAAGTAATAAAATGTCAGTCCGAAAGAGGTACATTTGGTCTACCTATGTTAAAGGTGAATAAATCAATTTATTCAATTAGTAGTGAATATAAGTCAGTGTTAGACCTTTGGTCTTCCAATCTGCTGCTGTGTAGGGGCTATCAGATACCATACAAACACCTCTGTGACCTGTGAAAAGCCCTGACTAGTAATTGGAGGAATCTGCTGCCATTACCCCCCCTACTTGCTAGAAGGGTGACCCCACTCTTCCTGTAGGTGTCAGCTGACTCCAGTGCATCCATGAACTCTGGAGTTCTGCTGGTTCGGCCCTCACGTCTCTCCTCCAGCGGAACCCCCATGCTGGCTGGGGTTTCTGAATATGAACTTCCTGAAGACCCTCGCTGGGAACTACCTCGAGACAGGTTATTACTCTGACTCAATTTTTTTTTTTAAAGATTATTTATTTGTTTGTTTATTTATACAAGCACTGGGTACAGTCAGAAGCGCGAGAGGGTGAGAGAATTCACCAGAGCCAGAGCAGGGAACAGAACAGGCAGACTGATGAAATACACTGCTGAGGGGAGCAGCGGGCGCGGCAGGAAAGATCTGTCACACCATGTGGGACCCTCACCGATGGCCAGGGATCAAACCAGCGCTGCAGAAGCTGCGGGCAGCTTCACAGCCCAGCACTCAACTGCTGCGCCACCAGGGGAGGCCCCTCTAACTCAATTTTTTAAGGAAGCCCCCTGCTTATTAGTCTAATGGTGGAAATTGTGTGTACTAAGATCTTCCAGGGGGTGAAAACACATGAAGCACCTGCAGAAATCATTTCTACTTTCTGCTCTCAATTAGTTGGAATATGGGCAGGTAGAGAAGGGGTATCCTGCCCTAGGTTTGAACTCAGCACCAACTACCACTCTGTTTCCCCAAAAGGCTGGTTTTAGGTAAACCCTTGGGAGAAGGCTGCTTTGGGCAAGTGGTATTGGCAGAAGCCATTGGGCTGGACAAGGACAAACCCAACCGTGTGACCAAAGTGGCTGTGAAGATGTTGAAATGTAAGTGATATTTCTGTCCTTGCAAAAGTGATTCCTTCTCTTTCTAAGCTAACTGTGGACTCTAGGCCACAAAGAACACTCTCTTTCACGCCCACAGCTGCTACACTGCCTACCCTGGGTTGCCTGGGTACGGAAGGAGCATTCTGGACCTTGAAATTGGCCATAAACTCACTTTGTTTCTTGAGACCAGCCTGGGTTGTGGTCAGGTGTTTATACTAGATCCCACTGGGAGCTGACTTTCTGTCCCATAGCCCCTGCCCACTGGGTGCTATTTATTGCAACGAAAGTTCTTTTAAGAGGGAAAGAAAGAAATTTGGTTGCACAAGGCCGGGGGCAGGGAAGCAAGCCCTAGAGAGAAGGGGCTCCTTGGGCACACCTTCTCCTAAGCTGTCCTCTGTCAGTCCCACTTCCCAAGTCTCATCTCCATCTCTGGTTTGTGTGCAAAGCCGATGCCACGGAGAAAGACCTGTCTGACCTGATATCAGAAATGGAGATGATGAAGATGATCGGGAAACACAAGAACATCATCAACCTGCTGGGGGCTTGCACGCAGGATGGTAGGTGCTGAGCAGGCTGACTCTGCGACCCCATCTAGGGAAGGGTCTCAGACAGGAACCTGTCCTCCCACTCAAATAACAGTGCCTGTCATGGGGGAAGGCAATACTCTGGGGTTTCTATGCCAAGACATCTCTCAGCTCTGCATAAGGAAGGGGGCTGAGTTGGAATGTATTTCTCAGGATCAGGGCCAGTGCCCATTGGAGTTCATGAATACAGTTACCTAGATTAACACACACAGTGAGTGGATAGGAACAGGTGAGTAATTGTGGTCTAGATTAAAGCTCTTACTTCCATTTTTGCTTGGGAACTCTCTGGACTATGCCAGGAAGAATTATTTCCCTGACTTTAAGTAGTAGGCTAAGTTTCTTGGCTTCCCTAAAGGGGAGGTTAGGATTAGGAAACAATTGCATGGTATGCCATTCACTTCCCTGGAAGTGAAGCTAAACTTGCTTACCTGCCTGCCTGCGCTGATGGCCCCTTTCATCTCTGCTCTCAGGTCCTTTGTATGTCATCGTGGAATATGCCTCCAAGGGCAACTTAAGAGAGTACCTGCAGGCCCGGAGGCCTCCTGGGTTAGAATACTGTTACAACCCCAGCCACAACCCGGAGGAGCAGCTCTCCTCCAAAGACCTGGTATCCTGCGCCTATCAAGTGGCCCGGGGCATGGAATATCTTGCCTCCAAGAAGGTATGGCGCCTGCCAGCTTCCCTGGGTGAAGTCGGGGGTGGGAACAGAGCCCTCAATCATACTCCAGCTTGTAGTGGAACTGTAGATGTGTTGGGCGTGGCCTGCCTGTGCTGAATTAGGCACTCTGGGGACCTCAGAGTTAAGAGCCAGTGTAGCCTTGTGGGCACTATTTACTATCTTACATTTCTTCAAAACTAAAGTAAGACTGTTAAGACCTCTGTTTTAGGATGGCTCTGGGGGTAAAATGAAGTCATGGGACAGATACAGATGGCTTTGCTGGGGCCCCAATCCATTGTGGCTGTGATACACCTCAGAGACAGGATTTCAGAGCACACACATCTTTGTTGGCATAAGGCTTCAACCTTTCTGGCTATGAATCCAGGACTTTGGGAAAACCAGGACAGGAAGCGAATACAAAGTGTTTGATATAGTGATTGTGAGGCCTGGAGCCAGAGTAGCTGGATTTGAAGTGGAGGAAAAGGACTCTAGCAGGAAACTAGAATGTTCTGGAGGTGGAATGGTTTGGCTGGACAAGGCCTGTGGAGTCAGTGCAAGAGGAGACGGTCACTCAGACAGCTGGGTGCCGGTGCTTGTCACAGCTCTCGACTCCTCACCTGCCTCCTGCCCTCCTCTCTCCATCATTTGCCCACCTCTCTCCACAGTGCATACACCGAGACCTGGCCGCCAGGAATGTCCTGGTGACAGAGGACAATGTGATGAAGATCGCAGACTTCGGCTTAGCTCGGGACATTCACCACATTGACTACTATAAAAAGACGACCAACGTGAGTGCTGGCGATGCCACTGAGCACATGTGCTGTGCGTAAGACACTGCCCCACCAGCCTTTCTCCAGCTTGGGTTTCTCTGCTGTTAACCCAGCACAGGTTGCCTTACCTGAGAAACAGTGTGGTAGTATAAGCTGAAATGTGCATCCCCCCCCCAGTCCAGTCCCCCTTGTACCCCTACTTGTCTCCTCATTGCTTTTTGCTGGGCCATCCCCAATCTCCCCTGTGCTCCTTGCAGGGCCGACTGCCTGTGAAGTGGATGGCACCTGAGGCCTTGTTTGACCGGATCTATACCCACCAGAGTGATGTGTAAGTGCAAAAAGCAACTGTCAGGGATACTTGGGATAAGGATAGAGAATTTGCAGTAAAATAGTGTCCTGCACCCATCTCCAGATTGATGAGGGTCTCCTCAGTTGGGGAGAGAAAAAACAAAACATTGTATAGATATATTCACTTCGTTCCCAGAGCTTGAAAGGCCATTGGACTTTCAAGCACTGGAATTAAGGGTTTGTGTTGGAGGGGGCGGGTGGGTTCAGAATGAGTATCTGACCTGTGGGTGAAGGAAGGATGGAAGGACTAGATTGACCTGTCTCTGTACTCATCTACAGGTGGTCTTTCGGGGTGCTCCTGTGGGAAATCTTCACTTTGGGTGGCTCCCCATATCCTGGTGTGCCTGTGGAGGAGCTTTTCAAGCTGCTGAAGGAAGGTCATCGAATGGATAAACCCAGTAACTGCACCAATGAGCTGTAAGTATGAGAATATAGTTGAGGTCTGAACTAGCTGGTGGTTGGGGGAGAAAGGGAATGAGTTTGACAGGTAAAGGGAGAAAGAGGTGTGCGGCTAGGTCTAGCAGCCCTTCCTGGTTCTTCCTCCTCTGACTTGACGGTCTTGCTACAGGTACATGATGATGCGTGATTGTTGGCATGCGGTACCTTCTCAAAGACCTACCTTCAAGCAGCTGGTAGAAGACCTGGACCGCATTGTGGCCTTGACCTCCAACCAGGTGAGGCTGTCCCATCCTAGACTGTCAGCTATCATCAGTAGCTACATCTCTGTGAATTGAAACTGCTGCGGGGAGTCGCATACTGGACCCATTGTTCTTTTGTCTCTCCTCTCAAAGGAGTATCTGGACCTGTCAATGCCCCTGGATCAGTACTCTCCCAGCTTTCCCGATACCCGGAGCTCAACCTGCTCCTCGGGGGAGGATTCCGTCTTCTCTCATGAGCCGTTGCCTGAGGAGCCTTGTCTGCCCCGACACCCAGCCCAGCTTGCCAATGGCGGACTCAAGCGACGCTGACTAGTACCCCAGCATTCCCCCTCCCTGAACGCCATCATCAGCTGTAACCCTCATCTACCACTCCCTGCTGGACTCACTGCCTTCCCCTTGGTCCCTTTCCTGCTGGCAGGAGCCAGCTGCCTACTTGAGGCCTTCCTGTGTGACCTACCTTCACCCCAGTGAGCTCACTTCTCTTCCTTCTCCTCCTCTCAACCTGTGGGCAAGAGGGAGGAGCAGAGAAGCAGGTACTTGCTGTGGCCACTTTGTTCCCTCCCAGATATTGGACCAAGACCCCTCCCTGCACCTGGTACTGCCCGCAGGGATGGGGAGTGGGAGAAGAGCAGGCACGCAAGTGAGAGCACACCAAGCTTTCTCGTGTTGGTTTTGTCTGCTTTGCCATAAAGCCCCTGTGTTCTGGTGGCAGGCGGGAACCTCGTCCTCGGGGCTACAGCAGTAGTGAGGAGAGGTCAGTGCTTCGGGCCTCAGTGGAAGGTGACCTCTGCTCCAGATAGATGGTGCCAGTGGCTTATTAATTCTGATACTAATTTGCTTTGCTGACCAAATACCTGGTGCCAGAGGATGGGGAGGCAAAGGCTGGGAGCAGTGTTGTGGCCCTGGGGCCCAGCCCCGAACTGGGGGCTTTGTACATAGGTATGAAGAAAACACAAAGTGTATAAATCTGAGTATATATTTACATGTCTTTTTAAAAGGGTCGTTACCAGAGATTTACCCATTGGGTAAGATGCTCCTGGTGGCTGGGAGGCATCAGTTGCTATATATTAAAAACAAAGAAAAAAGAAAAAAAAGGAAAATGTTTTTAAAAAGGTCATATATTTTTTGCTACTTTTGCTGTTTTATTTTTTTAAATTATGTTCTAAACCTATTTTCAGTTTAGGTCCCTCAATAAAAATTGCTGCTGCTTCATTTTTATATGGGCTGTGTGACAAGGGAGAGAATGTCAACAAAAAGGGAGATAAATGGGGTCCTGGAGTCGTCTGTCCAGGGAGTGTCACATGCTCCCTGAAGTTTCCTCCTAACATCCTCTTAGATCTGTACTAAGACCCTTAATTCAAACTTCTGTGATGCTTTTGGAAAGGCAGGAAAAGAAGTTGTCTGTCTTAGGGACACAAGCCTCCTGTCAGTGTGCACCCGAGGTGCTGGGCCCAGAGCCCAGTGCCCCTCCCCTAGCCCTCAACCACAGATTGTTTCCTCAGGAAACTGAGGGGAGGAGGGGAGGCATGGGGTTGGGGGTCAGAGAAAGTTGGGGGCCTACCTCAGAACAGCCAAGGGGTTGAGCTAAAGTGATTAAGAGGAAAGCTAAAGATTATCCAGCAAGGGCCTGCAGAAACTCAAACCCAGATATGCGTCTGCCCACTCTGGGTGTGTGTGGTTTTACCTTTGCTGCCATGTGAGGGCAAACATGTCACCTGAGACTATATTTGTGTTCAATTCAGGTCCCTTGCTTCTTGTTTCCCAGCCTGCTCTGTTCATAATCCTCCCCCACACCATTCTTCTGGTACCCATGTGACCAGGCTGCATTTGTTGGGAGTATCACAGATCTTGGCATCTTATAGTCCTTCCTGTACAGACTCCACCCCATCCCTCAGGATAGGGAAAAAATTCTCTGAATGTTTGTTTTTTTTGGCTGCTTGGAAATTTTCTTCCTCTGCCACCTGCTGGTTACTGCTGTACTCACCAAATGGGTCCTGGTCCACAGAAGCTTAGTTTGCATGTTGATGAATATAGGCACCTAGGATCTGAGTACAGACCCTCAGTGGGTGGATCTGCTTCTGTACCTAAGACTTAATTTTTGCTGAATTACTGCTGAATGAATACAGAAGAAGGTTCAATACACTTTCATTTCTAGAAGGAAAATGGGGTTGCTGCTTTACGTTTCCTTTCTAAGCTAGCTACTTTTAGCAGCTGTAGTGGCCACTATTGTAAAATTGTCTCTTGTCCTTGTGTCTCTCTGTAAATATGCAACTATCAACATATTACAGCTTGTGTTTATGTTGAATGAAGGTATAATTTGGTGAACAAAGCCAGGAAATGAATTTTAGCTCTTAAAGCCATTTGCTTCAAGATGTTATAATAGTGTATTTTGTTGTGAAAGTGATCCCTTAGCCCTCCCTTGAAACAGTGTTGTGTGAATGAACGGAGGATCTGTAATGGGCTTTACAGGCCATCGGAAGAGGTACTAGAGAAATAGAAGGCACAATTATGATGACAGTGGTGTCCTTGCTCTTACTACTCAAATCATGCACGGATATCCCCAGAGACTGAGCTGGCTGTCAAATAAAAGATAGTGAAATTGACCTGAGAGAAAATGAAATGGCCATTTTACTTAGATGACCAGATTGAGTCTCTGGAGGAAAGGAAAATCCAGTTTATCTAATGAAGACATCGGGCTGTCAAGGCACTAAATCTGGTTTCCTGAGGGTTAAGAGATTAGGGCTTGGGATCACCACAGCATTAATCAATACTGCCTTTCCGCCTTTTCTAATTGCCATAGGCTGGGGATCATCAGTCCCTTGGCACTGCTAACGTAATATATTGATCTCAGGTAAGTAAGATTGAGCCTCTGATGAAACAAGAACTCTATCTCAATGACAATGAAGTTGCTTTGTATATCAGCTACCACTGGGAGGAGCCAGCACTCCAAAATCTCAATCAATAATGTGTCAGTCTGCTTTGAAGTCCTATTAGTCTGACTTTCCTTACAGAGGTATACTGGTCATGACTAGAAAATCTTTAGCCTAGGCGTTAGCATTATGGAGCATTTATCACCAGTGTGATTGAAGTATAGAATTAGACATGGCAGACGTGCAGGTCCATGGAAGACACAGGCCAAGTCTGACATCACTGAGGCTGGATTTTAAAAAAAGCTTAAAATTATACCCAATGAGAGTATTAATATCAGGTATAGCTAAGGTATATGCAGGGAAAGGAAAAAGCTGAAGCAACCTGGCACCACCTTCCTTTCCCTCATAAGAACCAAGGAGAGGGAAGGTTCAGTTTGGCACTTAACAGTATTCAGGGTGCTTGTATTCCACATAGAAGTGATATATTAGCATGCCACCCACTAAAGGTTTTATCGTCTCGTTTCTCAAAGAGAGGAGGGGTCAGCTGGGTACTAGAGGCAGCTCTTGAGCTAATTGTGCACATCTCTTCCCAACTCTGAGTGCTGTTTAGTGACCCTCCTACTGTGGCCTAAAATTAGCCGTTGGGGTGGACTTATATCATTGAAACCAGCAAATGCTACAAATCAGCGTCCTCCACCGCCAGGCTTGGTTGTTAATCTTTTACCGGACCACCACTGGCTCAGTTTCAATGTGGGGCTAGCTCTAACAATCACCGAACCCAACAGCCAAGTACTTTAACTGATGAGAGCAAAAAAATAACCTGGGATTCAATGAGCTACTGTAAGAAAAGGAAGAGAGGAATACTGTGTCTTAGATGTGCAGATGTAGCAAAAAATGGATGGAGGCCAGGTGGGGCCAAAAGTGACTAGGGGCTCTTTGACCTAACCATTTTCATTCTACTCATAGGGTAAGAATTACAGAGCAGCCCAGTAGTACGTATGAATCATTCACCTGTATCAGGATTGAGCAAGTAGCTAAATCCCTTTCCCACATTCAACACTTTGAAATGTGAACTAATTAAAATAAACACCCATCATTTTTAAAATGGGAAAATTTATTGTGAATCACCTTGCTAGGCCAATGGCAAGATCCGTGGAGTGCTACACAGTAGGGACTCATCCTCAAGGAAGTGGAGTTCATTAGCGGACGTGATGGGACTTGTCCTCTTGTAGAGAGGTGGTTTAGGAAGCTTTGAAAAGTGCATATTCTTGCTGCAAAGTGCTGATGACATTCCTCATTCGGGTGATCCCAGACAGGGAGATTTGAGTTTTACTTGGTTTAACTGACTCCCACCTAACTGCTTTTAATTTCTTAGCATCTGACTGGCAGTAAAGAAATCTAACTTCACCCGTAAGTCAAAATCTATTTTCCCTTCTAGGTGACCCCCCCCCCCCACCCGGAAGAAAGCTGTTGGTCGGTTGCCTGGCAGTCTATTTGTTATCTTAAGTTTTCCAGTACTGACAATACTAAACATAAATGCCTGAACATAATACTTGTTACTGAGTAGCTTAGGGATTATATCAAACTTTAACAACCCCTATGACTAACAAATAGTCTTGTTTGTGAAAGACAAACAGACCAGAAAAATACACACCCTGCACAGACAAATCGTTAAGCCTTAAGCCCTTAATTATGTCTCCTAGCAAAATGGTGGCTAATGAAAACCATATGTGCTAGAATAGTGGCAGCCTCCCAGATTCCTGCAGCTTCTGCAGGCCCAAGAGGGAGATGTCTCAGAACAGCCACGCAGCAGCCAACTCTCTGTGACTGCCAGTCTGCTTTACTCCCGGTTTTCTCCTCCAAAAAGTGTTTTCTTCTTTACATCCAGGAAAACCTTCCTGGGGAGTATATCCATTCTGTTTCACAGGGTACTTTGTTTCCAGGATACTTCCTATTGCTGGATCACTCTGAAAAAGCTGAAGAGGTGCTCTTGCAATGATCTTTGGAGTTTCCAAGTTCTTGCTTGGGCTACATGTTTACAAGCCAGAGGAGGCAGAGGTATCTAAGGTACCAGCCTGACTCCATTATGCAAAAAATTCCCTCCTTTAAAGAACATGCACACAAATAGGAAGCTGTTTAAAAATAACATGGAGGTGAGGGTGAGGGGCTTTACACAAAATTTAGTGAGATGACATAATGAAACAGAAGAAGTGGACTTTGCAAATACATTTTTCTAAATGGTCTGACCTTGCTCTCACTGCTGATATCATCTGGAATGATTGGAAGGCCTCAACGGATGGCTCCAAGGACTAAATGGCTGATCCCCGATCTCAAACCAGACACAGACAGTCCTAGCTGGGAGGTCCTTTATGTATACTACTGCTGAGGGCAGGACGCTGGAAAGCGTGAGCTTCAGCCTCCAAGATTCCTTAGGCTCCTTTTGAACTAGCCTTGCTGTTCTGGGTTGTCTTTTGTGATTTGGCTTGGTGTACCTAGGTACAAAACAGAAGGGCTTGTTAAGTGTTGGTCACCATTTAGATAATATAGCTTCTTTAGTAGTCCCTATTTTATTCTCTTAATCAAAATAATCACAGGCCACAGAGTGAAATCTGTTTAAAGTTTATCTTGGCAATAAATATAAAGAAGACAGGCAAACAAGGCCCCTATGTGTTTACTCCATCTGACTGTCCACAGGTTCTCTTTGGTCCTCAGGAGCCAGTAGGGCCACTCCATAGGTCAGCTCTCCCATGCTCCTCCTACTGTTTATGTGTTTCATGCATGCTTTGTGATCTCTCACCAGATTCCTCCACCCAAATGGAAAAGGTGAATAGATAAGTAATTTCTTATTTACATGCATTTCTCCTAAGACTTAAATTGCTTTCCTGCTAGTATTTCCTGACATCAGAAGCCTGTGTGAAATATAAAACATATGGGAACCATTTCCATCTGGCGCAAAAGAGAATAAGAATCTGCCTATATTGTAATTAGCTTCTAGACTTAACATGTTTAGGTCTAATCCACGATTGCATTGGTTGATTTTTTCTTTGCTTTTGGATAATTGAGTTTAAAAAATGCAGTGGTTGTAAGATGACTAAAGTTCAGCCTACAACTTCCTGTTTGGACGACAGGAAGAACTATGCAGTGTTTTGCAATAGTTATAATTCTAGATTGTCACTGCCCTTTAAATTACTAGAGGAAAAGCATTTTCTTTTTTAACATACTTACAGCTTCTTTAGCAGAAGTAATGGGTTCCTTAGGTAATAAAATAGGTACTGATGGTGCTATGGGTGATGCGGTAACTGGTGGCAGCTGTATAAATTCTTCATCCTTAAACATCAAGAACTGGGTTACTGGGTTAAACATCAAGAGTTGGGTTACTGATTTAAAGCGAAATGTGTGTTAGATCTACAGTAACAGCCACAACTACCAGGAACTTATAACAGCTAATTCATCCTGTGCTATTCTGGCACAGGATGAGAGAGACAAAATCTGGAGCCCAATTTTATATAATCAGTTCAATAAATATTCTTTATTAAAGAACACCATTATATTGAAATTCAGTGAAGGAGGTTAAAAAATAGAGAAATTATTTTCATTTATAACCTAATTAATCAAATGAAAAGTAATTATCTAACCTCAGTTCCCTTCAGTTGAGGGGCAATATCCACCATGTTCTCTTTAGATTTAGGGGAAGTAGTTGATTCCACAGGAATATTCGTCATTGGTGGCTAAGAAGAGAAATACTTTCTATAAGCATAAGCTTTCTGCTCCTCCTAAAACTCAGACACACTTCTATAGTAGTCAATACTAGTCAGCACAATTTGCTTCCCACTAAATCCCTGACTTCCTCCTATTATATCCCTTATGAGTAACATAGAAAATATGTCCCTGAATTTACCTTTGAGTTTTGAGCACCCTATATGCAATAGTTGCCCTCTAATCAGATTCTAGTGTTTAAGATCCTCAATAACAAGCCATTATTTTGTAAGTTCTGGTCCTGTTCTCAGTTTCAAGAAAACAACAACAGTTACTATTTTTCAATTACTTCTGTTTGTAACTTAAGTCAAAATTGACAGCTTTATCACTTTTGGTATCTAATAATAAACAATGAATTTACCTGATTAAAATGGTAGGTGTTGTTTAACAGAAGCTCCTGCAACATGAGGAAATGGAGTAGGCTAGCTAAACTGTCTTCAAGAATTATATTAGATTTGAAAAATAAATATATCACTGTCTTTGGTAATACGTATTTTCTTTGTGTGGCTGGAAAACTATAATATATTCAATTTGATGACAGATACATGAATTCTAAAACAATTAAATTTCTAGGAGCTTGTCATTCTCAACTATTCCAGAAAGCAACATCTGACTGAAGAGTTTATGCCCATCTAGAATAATTCTGAGAACCCAAATTTAACTATGAGCCACTGTGCTGCTCCCAGAGTTCCTTGTTCCTGAGAGCCGTCTAAGAATAACAAATAACTTTGGTCTGTTTTAAAGACCAATGATAGAGTAAAAACCCACTAACCTGCCTTTTAGACCATAGTCTGTACTCCAAAATTGCTCCTACTCTCCTAGAATCCTTCCTGGACAAAGCCCAAATCCAGATTATCTCAGGAAATATAGAAAGGGAGAAAGCAAGATGGTGTTACCTGAAGCACAACCTTCATGTGGGAGTTCATATATTTTTTTCCTTGGCTTGTCCAAAAAGTCAACAGTATATGGTTAAAAATGCTTGTTTTTCCTCACTCCAGAGTACTTAGTCTAATCTCCTAAACCATACAAACAGCATCTATAATGATCTTTCCTTTCTCATGCAGGCTCTGAGTTAGACATGAAGCCACAAATAGAGAAATAAGAGACCATTTCTGATGACCAGTCATCTGCTCTGGTGACTACCAATCCTGGGTCAGAAAAATGCCAGAACAAAAGGTGCTGGGTTAAAGGCAACAAAAAATGATTAAGGATGTGAGGTGAAGGAAGACATTAAGTTTACATTCAAGATTTATCCATCCATTGCTTAGAAATTAATAGGAATCTGGACAAATGAATCAGACATGAAAGAACAAGCACCATTCAGTCTCAACGGAGGAGGAGTGTTTAAAAACAGTCTACCAGGGGCCTCCCTGGTGGGGCAAGGGGTTAAGACCCAGCCTGTGGAGCTGTCCGCAGCCACTGCAGCATGAGTTCGATTCCTGGCTGGCCAAGGAGCAACCCACATGTCACAGCAGACCTCTCAACCCACATGTCACAGCAGACCTCTCCTGTCTCGCCTGCTGGTGCCCTCAGCAGTGTACTTCCATCAATCTGCCTGTTCTGTTCCCCTTGCTATCTCTGGTGAATCCTATCACACACACTCCCCCACACATACACACCCCTCTGGCCTGTACCCCAGCTCTTGAATGCATACATAAATAAATCTTTAAAAAATAATAAAAAATAAAAAACTGTCTGCCGGTGATGCCTAGATAGTTAAGGGGAAAGAATAAACCAGAATTCTATTAGTAAAACTAAATCAAGATGGAATTAAAGATAATAACAGTGCCTTTAACTCAGCACCTTTTGTTCTTCTGGTAGTTTGAGGAGTTTTAATTTTTTAGGAACTTTTTAAAGGTTATAAAGCCATTTGAGCCAATTCCAAAAGATAATGTCTGTTCTGATTGTAAGAAGAAATAAGACACTTGTGGAGAGGCTCTGGTTTTAGACGTCCAGATTCCCCAGGAACCAGTAGTTACTCACCTCTTCACTTAATGGTATCTCGATTGGCTTTGGCTTCACATCTATTAGGTAGAAGGTTCGTGACAAGAGCAAAAGAGAAGGAGGGACATTCTCCTTCAGGTGGAGGTCCTGCCACTGGAGAAGGGGAGAGGAATAAAACATGATAGAATCATAGAATGTGAAAGCTAAACAGGGACCACGTACAGTCATCTACTGTTTCTTTGGGTTTAACCGCTTCCCCGGGTGTATGCTGACAACTAATGGAAGGAAGAGGGTAAGAACTGGTTGTACCTGCAACCTCATTCACTACAGTGAGATTACTCTCAGGGGTGGAGAGGGAGTGTTCAACTAAATTCAACCAACTGTGGGTCAAAGTAGCTAACTATCTTCACTTAGATAAAAAGTAGATAATGTGAAAGAGTAAGTCAACCTTATTTAGAATCCAGAAAAGTAAACATTAAAATGAGAATGAGATGTAAGTTTTCAAGTACCAAATTGGCCAAGATTTTGAAAATATGTATTTTTAATTCAAAAATACATGCACAGGGTCTCCCTGTGGTGCAAGGCATTGAGACGAAACCTATGAAGCTATCCGCAGCCACTGCAGCACGAGTTCGATCCCTGGCCAGGGAGCTACCCACATGATGCAACAGACCTCTCCTGACTCACCTGCTGTTCCCCTGAGCAGTGTATTTCTGTCAATCTGTCTGTTCTGTTCCCCACTCTGTCTCTGGTGAATTCTCTCACTCCCACACCTCTGGCCTGTACCCCAGTTCTTGTATGCATAAATAAATAAATCTTTTAAAAAAATACATGCACAACAGTCAAAATTCAAAAGGTCAAATGTAGTCAATAAAAATAATCCCAACTTCTATCCCGGTTCTCCAGCTACCCTGTTTCCCTCCTTAGAGGCAACCACTGGTACCAGAGCCTTATGATTTTCCAGAGATATCCTATACATATACAGTATATGCATTTATATATTTTCTTATCTTTACACAAAAGAGTGACATACACTTTTGTTCTTTGCTTTTTTTTTCCCACTGAAATATCTTAGAGATTGATTCATAGCAGTAGCTGCAGCACTGCTTCCTTTTTTTAAACATCTATAAAGCACTCCACTGTATGAAAATGCCGTAATTTGAGTATTCTACTTATGAACTTTAGGTGATCTCAAATCTTTTGCTATCATAAATGGTGCTGCAAAGGATAATCCTGTAGTTGTATCATTTTGCACATGTGCAAGAACCTAAATAAATTCCTGGAGGTGAAATTGCTAGATCAAAGAGTAAATGAATTTTTAAATTTTGGAAGATACTGCTATGAATTAATCTCTATGGGGGTTTTACCAACAGTGCACAAATGCCCCCACCTCACATCCTCACTTCGTAGTGTGTTATCAGAATCCAATCTTTGCTGGAGTCTAATAGCATAGGTAAAAATGCTATCTCTCAAGTTTTAATTTATCTTATCATGAGGCTAAGACATCTCATGTGTTTCTCATACATAAACTTGAAATGTCTCCTCATATTCTAACACAGAATTTTTTGAATAACATAGTTTGAAAGAAAAAAAAAAAGACTAAATAATTTAAAAATAAAATATATGGGGCCTCCCTGGTGGCACAAGGGGTTAACTCAGCCCTATCAAGCTACCAGCAGTCACCACAGCACCAAGTTCTATCCCCAGCCAGAGAGCTAACCCACATGGCGCAGCAGACCTCTCTTGTCTCATCCGCTGCTCCACTCAGCAGTGTATCTCAGTCAAGCCACCCATTTTGCTCCCCACTCTGTCTTTGGTGAATCCTCTCACACATACCCCCACACACATTTGGCTTACACCCCAGTTCTTGTATGCATAAATAAATAAAATAAAACTTTAAATATATATATATACACATACATACATACTCTGACTGTAGACTAATAGAGGCTTGATACAAAAAAATCATAAAATACAGAAAGTATAGTTAGCAAATAAAGTCATTCACACCCCTACCACGTAAACATAATCAATGATAATATTTTGGTATACATACATGTTTTATATGATGTGAAAAGTACATAATATGAAATATCCTAATTAAATTGGTATCCTCACTCATTTATAGTGGGATTATAACTCTTTCAAGAAAGACTTGTATATATGTTCATCTTCCAACAAGAATGACTCCAACATGTAAAAGGAAATAGCTACCCGACATGGTTTCAAAGTCACAGCAGTAACTCCTATTACCAGATAATTTGTGTGTACTTTATAGCACTTTTTACACTTATAGGAATGAGAATTTGAATAGGCGTTATTTTTATTTTAAATTATTGGCACTGCTAGTTAAAAGAGGAATATATTATATGCGGGAAAATATTAAACATCTATAACCAAAGCTAACACTTCACTTTGGTATGGAGCACTGGTTGGGAAAGCAGTTCCACATGAGCATGTTTAGACCATCTCAGGGATTTACTCAAATTACACACCTTGCATTAGATTTTGCCAAGCCCTTGCAGTACTTACAGTAGGCAAAATTCTCAATTGGTCTTGAGATTCCTGTCCCTGATATACTCATGCCTTCTCCCAGTTATTCAAACACTAATCTAGGTGCTGCTAAAAAGGAATTTTGCTGATATAATTAAGGCCTCAAGGCAGTATACCTTGAGATATGAAGTTTAATATCCTGATAGGTCTCACCTAATCACACGAGATCTTTAAATCTGAGGCTAGAGGTCAAAAACGGGAATGCTGAGGTTTGCCATGTGAAAAGTTTTCCATGCTGGCCTCGTAGATGGAGGGACCTAAAGATAAGGAATGCAGGTGGCCTCCAGGATGGAGGTCAGCCTGGAGTTTACCACCAGTGAGGAAATAGGACCTCAGTTCTACAGTTTCAAGCAGCTAAATTCAGTTAAAGAAAGGACTGCGCATGGAATGGCGTCTTCCCAACATCTAGGGAGAAATACTGCCTGCACATTAAATACAGAACTGAGAGTTAATAAATGGACGTTGTTTTAAGCCATTAAGATTGTTTTATGCAGCAATAGGAAATGAATACAGCACTGTCTCAGTCAAAAACAAATCTACCTTCTTCAGCAACACACTGCTCAATAAAATAAGACAAATTCGGTAAGACAGTTCACTGCAAAACAGAAATCATAAAATGAGTTTTGCAAATTGCAGGAGGGAGAGTTCTAATGAGAAAGCTCAGGAAAGCTGCTACTTGCCTCTGTCAGCTGTTGTCTCAGTTGTTCCTCAGTGAGACCCAGCGATCTCATCCCTCGGGCCCTACAGGCAGTTTGTAGTTCTGACACGCTCAAAGCACCCACTCCTTCTTTGGCAATTATCTGAAATAAACATAAGGAATAGTATTAGATCTTTACCTAATCCCTAAATCCCCACAAATCAGAGAAAAGACAGAATCTAATGCTTTCTCATTTTGTCCCCTGCATGTCTGCTGCAAAGGCCAGGAACCTAAAAAACAAGGTGACTTCAGAAGGTGTAGCAGTTGAGATGAAGGCAATTCTGCCACCAGGTATTTATTATATCAGAGATATTTACATAACTCCTCCTAACATTCAGTTACCAATGTAATTCTTTCCTGTCTTGATTTGCATTTCACCTGGTTATGACACCTCCTCTTTCCTTTCTTGGCAGCTTCAGGATTCATAATAAAAATTTGCACTTGAAAAGCATTCAATGTAACATTTGCTGCATGTCCCAGAAGTGGTTTTCCCCTGCTATCGCCCAACTACCACCCCAGGAATGGCCCTAACTCTTTGGTTCACAAACCTCCCTCCATAAATAACTTAGTCGAGTTTCTGCTTAATGTGATCCAAAACTATTATTCTTCTGGGACCAGTATTGGTTATTCCAAAGTTCTGAAAGCAACAACTGAAATCTAAATGGGGCCAGTGGGATTATACTTTCTCAGTTCTGGGAATCCTGCTCCCTCAGGCAGAATGCTTTAAAGCAGCTGATTTGGATTCAAGAAACATTCTTCCCATTTTTTAAGAGATCTAATTAGTAGTTATAGTCCAACTGGTGCCTTTCTTCCACAAGATGGCTAGGCTCTGCTTTCTCTCTCTGCATTACACTTTGCCACCCCCTTCTTACCAAATCAACTCACCCAGCAGAATATTTACTTTGGTAAAAGCTTAGTGGGAGAGGAGCACAGGTGTTAGGATAGAACACTGTCCTTAGCAGAGGAAGACTCAGAAGTCCACTGAGCTGCTGTTCCTTCCTAGAGGGTCCTACTTCAGTGTCAGCTAAAAATCCAAATTACTAAGTGCTTATGATGACTTTCTCAAGAAAATGGGTCAGAGTACCACAGACAACTCTAAAATGAGTAGTCAAGGTTCCAGCTGTCATGGTAATGGTTGTTTAAACCACTCATTTTGGTAGAACCAGTCCATGAGCAGAAAATACCTCATTTAATCACAAAGTCACCCTATGATATCTCTCAATGCCTTGCTAATTTCCTAAAATAATAGTTAAGTTCTTACTTCATCATCTGCTTTTATAGACTTCAGTCTCTGCAGGAGTTGAAAGCGAAGCAGATTATTGGTTCCAAAGTATTGTAATTCTAGCAGTTTGCAAAGGGCAACCAGTTGCGGTCGGTCTAGGTGTTCCAGGGTTAGCTGATCCTCAAAGAGTTTGGAAAATTGAATTATCTCCTTTGTGCAGGGCTTGTGGCCTGTCTGGACCTTAACAGTGGGATAAAGAGGCTAATTAAAATGTGTTTCCTGGGCCTCCCAGGGTCAAGTCTCAGCACTATGAAGCTATCGGTAGCCACTGTAGTAACAAGTTCTATCCCTAATCAGGGAGCTACCTACATGGCGCAGCAGACCTCTCCTGTCTTGCCCGCTGCTTCCCTCAGCAGTGTATTTCGGTAGATATGCCTGTTTTACTCCCCACTCTGCCTCTGGTGAATCCTCTCACCCCCTCACCCCCACCTCTGGCCTGTACCCCAGCTCTTGTATGCATAAATAAATCCTTAGAAAAATAATAAAAAATAAATAAAATGTGTTTTCTATCTAATTTAATTTACTCTGTAAACTATTTGAAAGACAGGTCAAAGCATTTATGGACTCTGTCTTATGTCTGAAAATGGGCCTTATGGCCCATTTTATTCCTTAAAAAGGAATAAAAAATTCCAAAGTCAGTCTAAATTAACTGAAAAGAGTAGTTCAAAAGTTTGATTCGAGAAGCTACCAATGTCTCCCACATGTTGATTGTGTTAAGTTTTTCTGCAAACTACTATAATTGTTTGCAATATTTTATGTATATAACTTAGATATCTGCAAATTCAGGTTGTGCATAGTTTAGGAAGCCCACAATGATGTGAATTTTTCATATAGCTGCCATCCCAGGAGTTCTTTAGTTTATATAATAAACTGACACCTGTTCGACATAGTTTGAGAACTGTGTAGAGGCTTCTCCCAACTTGGTTCTGTTCCTCTTTGCCAATTCTGTAATAGTTTCTTGAAGAAATTTTGCTAGTTCCAACATTGCAGCCACTTTCTTTTTCTGTTTTTCTTCCTTAATAGTAGAAAAGGATTACATGATTACAGCTGATAAAGATGAGAGAATTACTGTCCCTTTGCTATTGCTTATCCCTATATTGTATTAAATATTACTTTCAGACCAAATTAGATGGGTTTTGTAAGAATTAGAACAAGTAAAAAGTAGCTTCCATTTGCAATTTATTTCCTTAATCTTACCTTTTCTTTTTTCTTTTCCATTGATATAATGGTCATAAATATTTGACAGATCCAAAATATCCCCCGGGGATTCCCTGATGACATAGCTGTTAAGTCTTAGTGTTATCAAACTATTACCCTTACAACCTGAATTTGATTCTGGCCAGGGAGCTAACTCACATGGTGCAGCAGACCTCTCCTCTCTCGCCTGCTGTTCCCCTCAGCAGTGTATTTCAGTAAATCCACCTATTCTGCTCCCCACTCTGTCTCTGGTGACTCTTCTCACCTCCTACACGCTGCCTACACTCTAGTTCTTCTACACAAAAAATAAATTAAAAAATAAATATTTTCTTAAAAATGTCCCTTCAATGGGGAGGCTTTGTCATTACTTAAGAAGATGAATTTGTTATCTCTTAACCTGGTAAAAACCACCTGGATTACTAGTCAAGTCAACCCCTGATCTGAGTATCCCTTAATTTTGTTTGACCCACAAACAAAACTAGAAAACTTACTTTATGCTAAAGTAGCTTACAGTTTAAGTAGAAAACAGATAAAATCAGTTACAATACAACGAATTAAGTGCTATCCAAGATATGAACAAAGCACCACAAAAAAGAGAGTTAACTACACACTCTTAAAACACTATATTGGGGCCTCCCCGGTGGCGCAGCGGTTGAGCGCTGGGTTGCGAAGCTGCCCGCAGCCTCTGCAGAGCAGGTTCGATCCCCGGCTGCTCCCCGGCCACCAGAGGAGGGTCCCACATGGCGCGCAGACCTCTCCTGCCGCCCGCTGCTCCCCTCAGCAGTGTACTTTGGTCCTTCTGCCTGCTCTGCTCCCCGCTCTGGCTCTGGTGAATTCTCTCACCCTCCCGCGCTTCTGACTGTACCCAGTGCATGTATAAACAAAACAAAAACAAACAAAAAAAAAAAAACAAAAAAAAACACTATATTGACCAGTATTTCTAAATCCTTGATCATTACCAGAGTTTGAATGTGGTAGTGTTTTCAAAACAATCATGATCAGGACTCAGTAGGGTAGAGAGGAACAGAATCTACAGACCAACCTTTTTTTTTTTTTTTAAGTTACTCAAGAAATACTAATGATCAGTCAATCATAAGTCATTGATTATTAGAAACATCTTTTTTTAATTAATTTAGTTACTTTTTACATCATTGTTCAATTTTTAGAACGCTCTTACAAGACTCAGTAAAAAAAAAAAAATTACACAATGGCAATATCGTCATTAGAACCCATTCATCCATTTCATTATTCCATATTCACCCATCCGTCCATTTATTAATTTATGGAGCAGCTATGTACTGGGGATAAAGTGGGCAAAAGCAAGTAAGAATTCCTACCCTCATAGAATTTCTAGTCTAATGGGTTACAAATACTAGTGACTAATGATAATGCAGTATTCCACAAATTAATGTAAAAGTATAATGCATAAGTGTTATGAAAGAGAAATGCATGGTACAGTGATCTGATGTAAACAGAAATTATGCACTCTCTTTTCTTCACAGAATAAAACAAACAAGAAAGCATTTTCTAAGTCTAGCTCTGATGTGTACATAATGTGTATAGATGTGTTTTTGGAGAATACATGGTGCTGAAGAAAGCAGAAGATATAGATAAATCTTTTTCTCTATTCCCCCAACTTGCTGCATTCACTAACACTTTCCTTGGAATCCCCTAAGCATTAATTCTAGATGCTGACTACTTTAACTACCATTAGGCAGTTAAATATTGAAATTTGATTCTACCCCTTTATGTATCTCAAATTTTCAAGATTTTATTCCTAATACCACTTTTTATAATTTAGGCTTGTCCTCTCTCTCTTATGATATTACAACAGCACTCCAGGTGATTTCTCAGCTTGGTTCTGCTCTTTCAATCCTTCTTGCCAGCAAACTTATTTTTCTAAAACATGGATGTAATTATTATTTACTCCCTGCTTAAGTTCACTTTCCATGATACACCATTGTCAAAGCAAAGCCTGAATTTCTCAGAATGGTAGATACTATCCAAAATTGACACCAACATGACATCTCCTACCATGTCATCTATCTACCTTGGGGCCTCCCTGGTGGCACAAGGAGTTAAGTCTCAGCACTATGAAGCTATCAGCAGCCACTGCAGCATGAGTTCCATCCTGGCCAGGGAGGTGCCACACATGGCTCAGCAGACCTTTCCTATCTCACCTGCTGCTCCCCTCAGCAGTGTATTTCGGTCAATCAGCCTGTTCTGCTCTCTACACTGTCTCTGGTGAATCCTCTCACCCCTCCCACCTCTGGCCTGCACCCCAGCTCTTATATGCATAAATATATCTTTAAAAAAAACTAGTTAAAATTCAATGCAGAAGGGCCAGTGTTTCCAACAAATGGTACTTGAAAAACAAGATATCCACATGCAGAAGAATTAATTCTGACACTGAGGTTATAACTCTTACAAAAATAAATGCAAAATAGATTGCAGATGTAAATGTAAAACTCAAAACTATAAAACTTCTGAAAGAAAACATAGGAAAAAATCTAGGTAAGCTTGTGTTTGGCAATGAGTTTTTAGATAAAATACCAACAGCACAATCCAAAGTAAAATTAATAAATTTTACTTTATTGAAATTAAAGCATTTGATATGAAAAGACGAATCAAATTAAGAGAATATAAAGACAAGTCACAGACTAAGAGAAAATATTTGCAAAAACATATCTGAAAAAGGACTTAGATCCAAAGTATACTAGGAATTCTTAAAACTTAACAATATGAAAAACAACCCCATTAAAAACTGGGCAGAAGAACTGAGCAAAAATCTCCCAAAGAAGGGCCTCCCCTGGTGGCGCAGTGGTTGAGTGCTGTGCTGTGAAGCTGCCTGCAGCCTGGGCAGCGCCGGTTCCATCCCTGGCTGCTGGCGAGGGTCCCACATGGCGCGCAAACCTCTCCTGCCATGCCCACTGCTCCCATCAGCAGTGTATTTTGTCATTCTGCCTGTTCTGTTCCCCGCTCTTGCTCTGGTGAATTCTCTCACCCTCCAGGACTTCTGACTGTACCCAGTGCTTGTATAAATAAATAAATAAATCCTTAAAAAAAAAAAAAAACTCCCAAAGAAGATACATAGGTGGCAAATAAGCATGCGAAAAGATCAACATTATGTCATTAGAGAATTATAAATTAAAATAACAGATTCCTGTGCCTTTCTGGTGGCGCAGGGGTTAAAGAGAGCACTATCAAGCTATCACCAGCCACTGCAGCACAAGTTGGATCCTTGATCCTTAGCCCTCCAGGGAGGTGACCCACATGGCGCAACAGACCTCTCCAGTCTCACCGGCTGCTCCCCTCAGCTGTGTATTTCAGTCAGTCTGCCTGTTCTGCTACCCACTCGGTCTCTGGTAAATCCTCTCACCACCCCCTTTCCTGTACCTCTGGCTTACACCCTAGTTCTCATATGCATAAATAAATAAATCTTTAAAAAATAATAATGGACACCTGAGAGAAGAAAGCAAACATTGTACAAAAATGAACAATGATGGGGCCTCCCCGGTGGCACAGCGGTTGAGTGCTGGGCTGCTAAGCTGCCTGCAGCCTCTGCAGCACAGGTTCGGTCCCCGGCCACCGGCGAGGGTCCCGCATGGCGCGCAGACCTCTCCTGCCGCCCGCTGCTCCCCTGAGCAGTGTACTTCGTCACTCTGCCTGTTCTACTCTCCGCTCTGGCTCTTGTGAGTTCTCTCACCCTCCTGCGCTTCTAACTGTACCCAGAATTAAATAAATAAATAAATAAATAAATAAATAATAAATCTTTAAAAAAAATGAACAATGATGTAAAATATATATAAATAGAGATACCGCTATAGAATGAGATACCACTGTTAGAATGGCTAGTATTCAAAGCACTAACAACAGTAAATGCTGAAGAAGATATGGACAAGAGGAACTCTGGTTGCTGGTAGGGAATAAAAAATATCACAACTACATTGGATGGCAGTTTAGTGACTACTGACAAAAGTAAACATAGTCTTACAAGATGATCTTGCAATTGTTCTCCCAGATATTTACCCAAGTGAGTTGAAAGTTTATGTCGACACAAAAACCTACACATGAATGTTTCATAGCAACTTTTATTCACAAGTGCCCCAAATTAGAAGCAACCAAGATATCCTTCACCTTGAATGGAAAACAAACATCTGTACAATGGAATATTGTGCAGTTATAGAAAGAATTGAGCCATAAAAAGATAAGGAGGAAATTTAATTGCATATTACTAAGTGAAAGAAGTCAGTTTGAAAAGGCTGTACAACATATGGTTCCAATTCCATGATATTCTTGAAAAGGCAAAATTATAGAAAGAGCAAAAAGATCAGTGGCTTCCATGGGTTGGAGGATGAAATAGGAAGGAAGAGGAACAAATAGGTGGAAAAAAGGGAATTTTTGGGTGGCAGTGAAACTATTCTGTATGATACTGTACTTATAGATACATGACATTATATATTTGTCAAAACCCATAGAACTGTGTAACACAAAGATTGGATACTAACATAAAGTATGAGCTTTAATTAATAATAATATACAGGGCCTCCCTGGTGGTGCAAGGGGTTAAGACGCAACCTATGAAGCTATCCCTTGGCCAGGGAGCTACACATATGGCGAAGCAAATCTCTCCTGGCTCTCCTGCTGCTCCCCTCTCATCAGTGTATTTCAGTCAATCTGCCTGTTCTGTTCCCCACTCTGTCTCTGGTGAATCCTCTCACCTCCTGCCCCCACCCCCATCTCTGGCCTGTATCCCAGTTCTAAGTATGGATAAGTAAAAAAAAAATTTTAAATAATAATATACAGCTATTGGTTCTTCAATTATTACAAATGTACCACACTAATGCAAGATGTTAATAAGAAAAATGGGGTAGTGGGGAGGGGATGGAAGAAGGTATCCAAGGAGTCTGTACTTTCTGCTGAATTATTCTGTAAATCTAAAGCTGCTCTTTAAAAAAAGGCTTATTAATAAGAACAAGTTTAGAAATCTTACATACCTTTTTGGATTGTCTTTCAAAAGTTGATGGCAACATCTCTGGGAAGAGTTTCACAAATACTGGTAATAAGAATTCCATGAAGGGTACAATTACGAACACCATAAATGGAACCAGGCGGAACAAATCAACACAAGTTCTCAAAAGCTAAAGAATTAAATGCATATGCAATATTCATTATTTTAGGACATGCCAAAAACAAAAACACAAAAACAAAAGAGCTTGTCTTGGCTTTTAAAGTGTTAAAAACCAAAGACAGATTTTCTGCAGCTGTTTATAAAATAGAAAGGTAGCACTTTCCCCTTTACTATAGCTCTGAAGTAATATTTACAGGATATCTACAAGGAAATCCATGACAATCAAAACATAGTATTGGCATCTGTTAGCTTTCATCTAAGTTAGGGGTTTTTACTCTAATAACATAGCAGTTTTCTAAATTGCTTTTTCAAATGCATATAGTTAATATATTAACAACAGTTTGTATTTCAGATGCACAGATCCAACCTGAAATCCCTCAATTACTTGGAGAGATTAGAAAACAATTGTAACCATTCTATAGGCAAATATCTACAAATTCTAAGAATCTTGCCTAAAACTGTATAGCAGGTCAGTGGCAATTAGTAAGTAATTCTGGTCCTCACCACCAGTTACTATTCCCACTTTGGAATTTTTAGGGTGAATTTTAACTTGATTTTAAAACTTGGTTCTAAAATATTTCATCTAACCTTAAATATTTTTCTTTCTTAAATTTTCTTTTTTAAATAGGATTCTTGCCTACCCTTCTCCTATCTCGTCTGGTCAGCACCTGTCCATGCAACAGCCTCCAAATCATTCTGATGGCAATTTTGGTATCGATCCAAAGCAAATAGAATCCATTATAATAATATTTAAGTTCATCCACAATTTTTTGCCTGAAAGATCGCTTTTCTTCCTTAATCTTCGTGTCAGTTTCTTTTGTGGGCTGAGGACTTGTCACCTCTGGCTTTTTTGTGGTTTCCTCCTGTTGAGGTTTACCAGGGACCTCTTGTAGCCAGCAAGTTGATGTATGTAGCTTTTGTATTATCCTAGTTCGTACATGAAGTACTTTACTGCCTGGCTGACTATAATAAGAGAACTTCTTGCTTCCATAGTTCTTCATATATGTTTTATTTAAATAGAAATCTGGCAAGTGAAGAAGTGCAAGTGATGTGTGAGAACAAGCGCAGATAGGATGGACAAAATGGCTAGGGAATCTGGAAAAAAGAGCAACAACCTCTGAGTTGAGCACATACTGTGACACATTTAGAAGTTAAAGAATTAGGACCTCCCTGGTGGTGCAGGGGTTAAAGTCTCAGCGCTATCAAGCTATGGCCAGCCACTCACTGCAGCTTGAGTTCTGCTTCTCCTGTCTCACCAGCTCCCCTCAGCAGTATATTTCAGTAGATCTGCCTGTTCTGCTCCCCACTCTCTCTGGTGAATCCTCTTACCGCCACCAACTCTGGCCTACACCCCACTCTTGTATGCATAAATAAATAATTTTTTTTAAAGAAGCTCTGCAACTATTAATTAAAAAATCTAATAGCAGGGCCTCCCCAGTGGTGCAGCAGTGGAGCGCTGGGTTGCAAAGCTGCCCGCAGCCTCTGCAGCTCCCGGTTCGATCCCCAGCTGCTCCCCAGTCACCGGGTGAGGGTCCCACATGGCGCACAGACCTCTCCTGCCGCCTGCTGCTCCCCTCAGCAGTGTACTTCGGTCCTTCTGCCTGCTCTGCTCCCTGCTCTGGCTCGGTGAATTCTCTCACCCTCCTGCACTTCTGACTGTACTCAGTGCTTGTATAAATAAATAAATAAATCTTAAAAAAAAAAATCTAATAGCAAACATATTTCCACCAGAGGTTATGTTTGAAGTTTTGTCTCTAGCTACTATCATATAACAGGTAGAAAAATTTGTATCTTTAGCTATTTTACTGACAATTGGAATATTGTTTGAATGAAGCTTCATGGTGCCTGTGGGGATTAATCAATTACACAATTCTGCTTTGTCCTTGTAGTACCAATGGACTCTCTCAAAAGAAAGGCACTGATAGGGCCTCCCTGATGGCGCTCCTGGCAAAGGGACTTCTCTTGGCAAAGAGATGGCTTTTTCCATTTTTTTTCAGACTTTTTTTGAAACATGCCAAGATAAGATACTCTTTGAATGGCCAAAATGGAAAATGTAAAATATCTGGCACATGGTAAGCTCTCAGTGAATATTCTTTGGAATAAGTGATAAGAGATTTTACTGGGACAGGTAGGTTTATGTCTTAAAACTGGTTTGTTTGCCAGCCATTTTACTCCTTTTTCATATCTAATATTCATTGATTACAGAGGTGTCACTCTAAACCCATTACATCTTCTATCCTATCTATACCACAAGTCTACAAAATCAGCCAGAGTTCTAAAGCATATAGAAAAGTTGGGATAAGTTTAAATACATTAGAATGTCAGTTCCCTAAACCCCAAATCTATCCTTGGTTAGTCTAGTCCTTGCCTAATCCTAAGTCTATCCTTTTATATATCTTTTCCCTCTGGAAGAAAAAAGTTCATATATTGTGGGTGGAGGGTGGCTTACCTTGTTCCGGTAATAGCTAAGACTGTATTATAACTGTAGAAGGCCATATTTATATTTGTCTCAACTAGTCAACATAGAGACCTAGACAGGAGGAAGTAAGCAATTTATTATTTCAAAATATATCAGTTCTAAAGATAACAGGATTAAAGTGTTTTTAACTATTGCAAGGGTAGAAAGTTTGCATATTCTAGTCAAAGTATAAAATCTCCCTCAAGTTATTTCCAACAATCATGAATAATATTTTCTTAGCCCTTAATTTGAGAATGGTACTTTGATATCCCAACAAAAAGAAATGATATCTAATGTGATGATGCTCATAATGATGATATGGTCTTCAAACATATTTTGATTTCTGGTCAATAGTACATTGCAAACTATCTATTTGAATGGTTGCCCAGTATTTAAGAAACTGAACATGACACACTTATTTGTATCCTAAAAATACAATGGATACGGTGGATTTGTTTTCAATTAGTTCTTTTTCCATTCTGGGCCAAGCTGCCCCAAACTTTTAAGATTGAAAGGACTCACTAATCTCATTTATGTAGCGGTGAAAATATACACGGTACCTATTCAAGTTCAAGAACCGGTAAACCAGTTTCCTGGGCTAGTAAGTTTCCACTTTTAAAATAAGCTTTACCCAAAACCTTTCTCTCAACTCTAGTTTACACACAAAAAGGTCATTTGGAATAAAAACAAATAAATGATCTCCATCCTGAGGTGCTTTTCAGCCAGTGACAAGTAAGAAGCCTTGCTATCTCATGCTGTCAACTTTGCTTTCCTGCAAATGGGAAGGGAGTACTGCTGCGGGACGGAGACCTCACCCGCAGAGCTGACATTTTGAACCGGCAGCCAAGTAATACTTCAGCAGGTCTGAACCCAGCCTATGAGCGGGTGGGGTGGCCTCACGCTGGAGGCAGACCAGACCGGGTTTACGGGTGATCTGCCGTCTGGTCCCGGGCACTCCCGCTCTGGACTGTGAGCAACCACTTCCCAGGGGGGCCGGGCCTAGGCGAGGACCAGCTGCGCGCCCCGCCCGGGCTTTCGCGCCGCCCTCGCCCAAGTCAGAGCCCCGGGCTCTCGGGGTTACCTTTGCTTCTGGCATTTGACCCCCCGGGGGCAAGACGAGCCCTCGGCTTCCCCGGCCAGGGGCTTTTGTGCGCGCTGTGTGTTGGTGAACAGTGTGTGTTGTCTCGGGGTCGGGGCGCGGGGGTGGTGCAGGCACCGGAACGACGAACCAGGTTGGCGATCGGGGGTGAGGGAGGAAGGTGAAGGGAAGCTGGGCTCAGGGTACGGAAGAGAAAGACGCGAAGCTCGGAAGCGGGGGGAAGGGAGGCTGAGCTCCAAGTCTGGGGGGACGAGGTCAGGGCTGAGGACCGCGCAATGGGGAGCAACTGGAAGCTGCCGGGAAACTGGGCGCGACGGGAGGAGCAGGATGCGCGGACTCCGGAGGAGAGCAGGCAGGTACAGCCCCCCGAACTTGAAGGCCTTGGCCGGCTCACCCCGACCGCCTCCCGCCGGCTCCACGGAACGGCTGCCTCAGGACTCCAGGCCCCTTCCCAATTGCCCCTCGCCCTCAGCTCCCCAAGCTAGAAGGGCCCGAGGCCAAGTCTCTATGGCTCCACCTCTTTCCTCACCCGGTGACGTCACTCTGAGTGACGACACCACCCACCAATGAGCGCTCAAGCTCTGAGGAGGGCGGGCGTGCCTCGCCGAGGCCGCCCCCGAGGCCGCCCCCGAGGCCGCCAAGTCCGGTTCCTCCCCGCGAGAAGACTTCTCTTGTGTTTAGTTTCTGGAGACCCTGCGCGGGGAGGTCCGAGGCTGACGTCTCTCTGCAAGTCCACTCTCCGTAGGCTGTGGATTCACCTCCGCCCCCTCCCCAAAGCCCTTCATTGAAAGCTAGTATTAAAGAAGCACTTACCTTACCGATAGCGTAATACGCCAGATAGTCGCCATGGTAACCATCTTGGAACCACAAATTACATCACTTTGATGTTTTTCCTCCCCACCCTCCTCCCCCTCCATCTCGCCACAGCCGGGGTGGGGTGGGTTGGGGTGGGGGGGTGGGGGGAGCAGTGGGAAGAGGGAGTGGCAGAAAGGGCGGGAATGGTTAAGGAAAAAACATCTCTGTTCCTTCTTCAGGGCCCACGATTGTGAAATTTTCCTGTGGAAATATGAGTTCCACTAAAGAAATTTGCTTTATAAAGGTTCTTTTAACGGGTGTTGTTCATGATCAATAGATTGTGTATAAATTCCAAAGAACATTTAAAATGTATAATATAGTTGGTGTGTGATGACACAGGCACTGCAGGTTTGCAAGCACTTCTAGGATGGGCTACTGAGTCATCTTCGGAAAGTGAAAGATCTAGAAACAGTCTCGCTCCCCAGTTATTTCTACCCATCCATTTTATCTGACTCTAGAAGGAAGACAACATTTTTATTGGCTCTGTTTTGACATAACACCAGACAGCAAGGAATCGCTTTCTCACGGAGAATAGTTTTCCTAACATGTGAGCTGACCACAGATGTTACTCATCTGGACTGCACATTTGTAAGAATGAAAAATAGTGGGTATTAAATTTCAGTTTTTAAAAAAATGCAGACTGCTTTTAATCCACAAAGCATTTTTCAGCTAATAACCAAATGGATCAACTATGTTAAATAAGCAAAAACATTCATTTTGGCCACTAGAGGTCCCTTTGTGAATGTTTGATGACCAACTTTCCACTTAAAGGTTTTCACGTGCTACGTTTACTAGAATTAAAATCTATAAAGCTTTGGCTTTATAGGCTTTCCTACTCTGAAAATTCTTATTGGCAAAATTTTGAGCTTTAAAACTATGTATAGCTTTCACACTAATTTTGTAAATTACTGCACAACCATGTATACATTTCTGGAAAAGAGCATTAAATGATGGACAAATATTCCTCTCAGTTCCCTGGGAGACAATTCATATTGTGAAATATTCTTATTGATGCATTGTATTGGCTTACAGCAAGGCATAGTGAACGTCATTAAGTATTCATAAACCAGATGAATGATTCCAAGCTCTGTATTTGAAAGATGAACTAGGTTTTCTACCATGGCCATATGTCAGCTATCCTATTCTGAAAGGGGAAGGGTTAAGAAAGTTTACAGAGGGGCCTCCCTGATGGCGCAAGGGGTTAAGCACAGAACCATGAAGCAATCTGCAGGCTCTGCAGCACTAGTTTGCTGCACAGGCTGGCCAGGGAGCAATCCACATGGCCCAGCAGACCTCTCCTGTCTCCCTGCTTCTCCCCTCAGTTTCAGTCTGTCTGCCTGTTCTGTTCCCCACTCTGTCTCTGGTGAATCCTCCCACCCCCCATCTTTGGCCTGTGCCCCAGTTCTTGTATGCATAAATAAATAAATCTTAAAAAAAAAAGAAAGTTTACTGAAATCCATTTCGAAGCAATGTTTGCTTTCTGTTACCAGGCCTGGCAACTTTTTGACTTTAGGATGAGTGATTTATCTTGTAAGGAGTGTGGGGATAATATTGGAAGAGAAACAATTTTTTTTTCTCCATAACTTTGGCCCTAAGAATTGTTACATTGCTGTTTTAATGAGCTTGTTGCTCATTTACTATGGGGGAGAGAAAGCTCACTGAATCTCAGAAGATGTTAGATGCTAAAAATGTTTTTTTTCCCCCTAAGTATGGCTGTAGATCAAATAGTATTAAGTGTATTTTCTAATGTTTTGCGTGAAGTGACTATGCACCTACTTCATATAACTTTAAACATTTGTCAACATATTTTTAGGAGCAGAGTGAAAGCAAATCTCTGGGGACAAGGTATCAGAGTTTTTTTCCAAGGAAAAAACAGGTGTGAGGTGAAGGTGATGATCTATCAACAAAGCCATGAGGATACAGGAAGATGGGAAAGGAAGTATGAAAGTAATAATGACCACAAGAACGAAAAAGATGAAATTCACCTCTATGGGAAATAGAGTCAAACAAATAGGCTCAGATGGTCCCCTTTTGGACGTCTGTGTACTAAAAAAGACATTTATAACAAACAAAAATGTGCTTTTATTGATTCCTTTAACTTTTGGTACTCAAAGCATAGGTTCTACACAAGCATAAGTTTAGAAGTAGTTAATGATTATGTGAATATTTAATTCTGAGTATCATCCTTAGGATTTTTTTTAAAGGGTTGTTTTTATTTTTATTTAAATATTTATTTTTTATTTATTTATGCATATAAGAACTGGGGTGTAGGCCAGAGGTGAGGGTGGGTGGTATGAGAGAGGATTTGCTAGAGACAGAGTGGGGAGCAGAACAGGCGGATTTACTGAAATACACAGCTGAGAGGAGAAGCCCGAGATGGGAGAGGTCTGCTGCGCCATGTGGGTTGTCTTCCTGACTGGGGTATTGAACTCATGCCGCAATGGCTGGTGATGGCTTGATAGCGCTGAGACTTTAATCCCTATGCGACCAGGGAGGTCCCAGGGCTACGTTTTTAAAAGTGATAATCAGTAACATTAAAAGAATTGGTCGTTAGGAACCTTTTCGTTTCTGATTTAAGTGGTATTTAGAGATACCATGAATTTCTTGAAAGATGGTATCTACTGAGAGATGAACCCCACGTGCTTGCAGTGCTACCACTTTACTATTCTGAGAGCAAAGCATTGGTTTCCTCATCTGATGGTTGCCCATGTTTCTTTTGTACATTCATATCTCTGCGTGGCAACCTTCTAAGTCATTCTCACCAGGTCCCGGGAATTACCACCAAATGCGCACGCTCCTGCAAGACAAGTTCAGCTTGTCCTAAATCTCGGACCTTCTATTGTTCGACATAGTTTCCTCGGACGCGAGGGCAAAAAGCTTACAGCGATTTTTGACTCTCTTCCTCCTCTCATTTTGGCGCGAGATCTGTCCAAGACAAGTGCCCTCACATCCCTCGAAGCGAAGGTCTGGCCGCGAGCAGCTGAGGGCTCCGGCACGTGACGGGTTCCGGGCCCCTCGGGCCCGGGCGTCCCGGCGGCGGCAGGCGCTGACGTCCTCCTCTTTACCCACAAGCCTCCGGGCCGCACCGCGAGCAGGAAGCAGGCGCGCGGGCCCGGCGCCTGCGAGGATGTTGGTGCTTCCTAGACACTGAGAGGAGGCACCGCCTTCCAATGCTTGGCTTCTGGCCCTCTGGGGTGGGGTGGGGTGCGGTGGGTGGGGTGGGGGGCCTGTGGCCCTCACATCCGCGACCGCGAGGGAGCCTGTCCCCCGAGGCCGAAGTCTGAAACTGCAGGCGCGGTTTCCAGACGCCGACACATGTGTAACAGGGGAGGCTTCCCTGGTTCCCTGACAGCTGTCGGACGGGGACAGTCAGGGAGGCGCATAAACTGTCCCACTTTTCCCTGGTCATCGTGACAGGACACGCGTTTGTAGGTTATTTCTCACATCCAGGGCTGGCAGAGCAGAGCCCCTCCGAGGCGTGCCATATGGTACTGAACACGCGCTGTTATTTAATAAGTACCAAGAACACGCACAAGCTCAATTTTATCTCACAGGCCCAGCCAGCCTTTAACCTGTTTTCTAGTGTGTGTGTGTGTGTGTGTGTGTGTTTAACTCTTCTTCGCATCATTCCTTCCTCTCTCCCTGACTTTATCTCTTGCGGTCTCGTGTCTCATCTCGACGCTCCCCGACCGCTCGCGGTTCTGGTGACGCTCCCGCCCCTGCTCTCCGCCCCGCCGCCTCGCCTCTTCCTCCTCTCGCCCCTGCGCCCCAGCCGCGGACTGCATTTCCCGGCAGGCGCCGCGGCCGGCGGCCAATGAGGAGCTGAGGATTTGGCGGCGGCGCCGGCGGCGCTCCGCGAGTCGGGTGGGGGGGCTTTGTGCGCGGCGGCGGCGGCGGCGGCGGCGGCGGCGGGAGCGGACGGCGGCGGCGGCCAGGACGGCGGCGCGGGCCGAGGGGGACGGTGCGCGGGTCGCCGCGAAGAGACGTGCGAAGGCCGCGTCGAGCGCCGAGGTCTCCGCTGCGCCGGCCCGGCCGCCGGCCACAGGCTGCTCTCCAGCGGCGGCAGCGGCTGCGCGGCGACCCCCATCCCTCCGGCAGCCCTTCCCCGCGCACCTCCGGCTGCCCTCCGCCTCGCCGCCCCGCCTCGCGCCCGGCCCGGCCCGGCCGTGGCCCTCCTTGGTGCTGGCCGCCATGGCAGAGGCGTCCGGCGCCGGGGAAATCTAGCCCGGGGATTTCATGCGGCCTAGCTTGGTTCCGTCTCCTTCCCCCGCGGCCCCGGCGGCTGCCCGCACCCCAGCCCCACTCCGGGCCTCCGTGTCTCTCCTGTTATCGTACTGACACGGCCGGGGGGTTAGAATGGAACAAACTGAAGGTAAAGTGAGCGCGCGCGCGCGTGTGTGTGTGCGTGTGTGTGTGTGTGTTGTGTCTCGGAAGGAAGGGCACCGGAGGGGGCGGCGAGGAGGGGCGACCTGTGATGGGACCCGGGTAGGGAGAGGGACCCTGGCTTGGAAGGAGAAGAGGGCGGCCTGGAAGGGCTCGGAGGGGGTCTGCAAGGAGGAGCAGATGGCAAGGTGGGGGTGTAGAGGGCTTGGGAGGTGGGGCAGGGGAGGTAGGGTTGGGGTAAGAGATGGGGTGGCTCAGAACTGGGAATTGGGAGTAGAGGTGGGATGGGGGCGGGGATAAGGATGAATCGGGGGAGGGGCAGGGGCAGAGAAGAGTTAGGTTTGGGAAACATAAGAGACCTGGGCGGACTGAGAAATAGGGGAGGTTTGGGGTTGGGGGTGGAGTGTGGGAACTGAAGAGTCTGGAGCAAGGGGATGGGTTTGATGGAGAAACGAGGCATCAAAGGAGAAACGAGGGAATGGAAGTGGAGGAAAAGGTGGATTAGGGAAAAGGATGAGAAATAATTGAGAAGAGATGTAATAGGATAAGATTCAGGAAACTGAAGGGCAGGTTATTGGGATAGGGGGAGACGTGAAGCCTCCTCAAATGAATGTTGAGAAGGGTGAGAACTATCGATCAAACATCACAAAGTGGGAGGAAAAGAAGGGGGTGGGGGTTGTTAAAGTGTTAGGAAGGGAAAGCCTTTTGTTTCTACATTTGTGTGTATTTTGTACCTTTTCTTTAAAGGCTAAAGAATAGAGAAGCTAGTGGTTGTGGGGTTGTGATTGTTGTGAAAAGAGGTGTGGGTTTTACTGTTCTGAGGGAGGAGGAGATGTGTTTGTGTTATGGTAGCAAGACAGGGAGAGCCATGGCCATAATTTGATGTTTTTGGTGAGGGAGTGAAGACTATTCCGATTTAAAGGGGGCAGGGGCAGCCATGTTTGCTGCCAGGCACTGCAGTGTAAATAAATTTCTTCTCCGACATCACTGTGATTCAGGAGGGCCAGTTCAGATTGTTAACCCCCTTTCTATTTGTGAACTCTTCCCTTACATCTTGGGGTCATTGAAAATTATTCACAACCACCAAAGGAGGTGGTGATGTTTTCCATCTTGTGTGTTTTGCTGCTCCCCCCACCCCCTTTCCCTCTTCCTTCTGGTTGCAAACAAGGCATGCTAATGAACTGCAGTGTAAAATTTAACCCTTTTTATAAAGTTAAAACTAGCTTTTTACTAGCCGAAGGAATCATTAATACTCTCATATTTTAAACATAATCATGAAAAGTCTTCTAAATAACGAAAATTCGTTTGTATTTGAAACCTCAGAAGCAGTTAACATGTTTTCTGCAATTCTTTAAGTAAACAAGGAAATTGCATTGGTTATTTTACTTGGGCTTGTGCTCTTGGCAAAACACTGTGGGGGTGAGAAGGGCTAGGGAGATCTGCTTGCTGTATTTTGAATGTTGGAATATTATAAATGTGTGTATTTTAAAATGGTTGTTTCTGATTGCTCTTGCCTGTAGATGATGGATGTTTTAAGTAGTAGTGTTTTGGATTTTTTTTTTTTTTTTTTTTTTTTGATAAACTCTCCTCTATCCCTTCTCTCTGCTTTCATGTGGCTAGGTCAATACAATTTCCAAATGCTAGTTCAGCACAGTGCAATCATCTATGAAGTAGGCATTCAGTTCTTAGAGCCTCACTAAGAGGCCAGTTTTTTTGGTGGGAACTTCAAGTCACTCTCAGGAAAGCTACAGTAGCTCTTTAATGTAGTCAGATGTAAATACTTGTGTGATTTGAAATAGTTACTGTTCTAAAGGTTTAAACCCTGACAAATTTACAGTAGATAAATTAAGTGGAGCTATTTTGTTTTCATAATGGAAATGATTAAATGTGTTATTTTGTTTGGTTTTATAACTGCAGTTGGAGTAATTGCACACTTTAGCCCATCTTATTGATAGGGAAACTTCTCTAATACCAGGAAGGTCTGTCAAAATTGTAACATGAATTCAAACCATTTGTGCAACATGCTGATTTAATCGCCTTTAGTGCAGTGTCTTTTCAGGTTGTTTTAAAGTTTAGGATGTGTTCGTAGTCTGTTGGAAAAATTAAATTGAATAATGTGATTGGTGCTTTGTGAGAGTGCTTTTAGTCGAGATTTATAACTTGCAGTATTTTGATTTGATAATATTTGGCCAGAATTTTTTTTTTATTCTATGAAAAAAGTTCTACTTTTAAAAAGCCATTCAGAATGTTTCTCTGGAACTTCTTTTTATAGCGATTCCAATTTTATTATCTCCCAGTTGATTGATGTGTTATTTGTAATCTAGTAAACTGTGCAAATATCAGTGCCATAAATTTTTAGAAAATTTAGAAATAGTTTACTTAAAAAATCATGTTGGAAACTTGAATTACTAAAAAAAAAAGAGTATTCCTATGTATTCAGCATTATAAAGAGCAGGGTCCCCTACTCAGCTGTCTTGATTATTTTGACTCCTTGTATAGGTATCTATATGATGAACTAGGCTATTCTAGTTGGATTATACTAATTAAAACCTAAATTTTGCTCTTAATTCTAGGTTCCTTAGCTCACCTGCTATCTGTGATAACTTAAAAAAACTCTCAGTTACTAAATATGTTCGTATACAATCAGTTGGATGAGTCTGGGGTGAAGGAAATTGGTTGCCTTTGAAATTGGTCATCCTTGAATTATCAAATCTCATTCTAAAGATCACACATTAAGTTACTGGAGTTTATAATAATCATAGTAATAGCTGCTAATCATTATTGTCCTCTTAAAGTTGCTCTGCTATATCTTATATACATGATTTCCTTTTATCTTATTAATAGTTGTATGAGGTTAGTGGTAGTAATTCCCTTTTGCAAATAGAGAAATTGAGGATAAGTAATCTCACAGATGGTAAATAGAAATCAGTATTTGAATCCAGATCTTTTCTAAGCATAGAACCTGTATCAGCAGACCTTTACTTTCAGATTTTTTTAAAAGTTCATAAAAATAAATATTCACCATTTAAATTTTTTAAAATGTCCCAAGAGACTAAGGCTTTAAAAGAAGTTAACACATTTCCCATTGATAATCATTCTGAAGTTTCTTGTGTAGCCCTCTAGAAGATTTCTGTACATATATATGCACATTTCCAACTTAAAATGCACACAAATTGGATCATACTATCTGCATTTTGGGTTTTTTTTTTTTTTTTTTTTTTGGTTTGTTTTAATAGGCTATCTGGGTCATCCTTTTAAATGAGCTCAGAAAACTGCAACTTTTTTTTTAAGGACCAGATAGTATTCCATTGTTTGGAATACTGATTGTTAGGTTGTTAACAGGTTTTTGCCATTATCACTAATATAACCGGTCCTGAATTAAGTCCCTACCAGCCTATGTAAAGGGAAGAGATACAGTGCAACTACTAATACAAGAGACAGAACAGAGGCCTAGAGCAGATAAGTTCAAGTCTTTGGTAACCTGCTATCTCACTCTTTACACTGTATCACATTATTTTATTATGATGGATTTGAACTGTCTGTGAAAACTCAAGGTGAGGTAGAATTCTCAAACTTAGGCACATTTAGTATAATGAATGCATTAGACTTAAGTTACAGTGAGGCAAAGGATTTTCTCTTCATACATCATTTATATATTTAGCATATGCAAAAATTATTTTTACAATTATAAATTAATCATATACATGTATCTTGAAGTGTGTGTTTTGTGTAATGAAATGGTTGGGGCAAAATTTTCCCATTTTAATTAAATTATCAGTGAAATAAGATAGTGGAATGAAAAAATAAGAGTCCAACATCCTGGAAAATAACTTGGAAAGAAAATTGAGACACTGGTAAGTTTTTTAAAAATGAGCTAAGAATATCTAACTGGAAAACAAGTTTTTTTTTAAAAAAAGACCTTAGCAGGCAACTGTTTGCTTTATCTTTAATTATTTTTGCCTATCAAGAAGAAAATAAGTTAGCCATGTTTCTTATTCACTCGACACTTTCAAAACTGTTTTAGGCACTCAAAAAGTAAAATAAATTTAAAATTTAGAATTTAGGTTTAGAATTTGTAATCTGTCCATAAAATTCTGTTTCTTGGTACAATGCTATTTTCAGTTTCACTTAAAAAACATCTTATTTTTTGAAAGAGCAATTAAAATACTTATTCCTTTGTTAATACACATGTCCAGCTTTTGAGTGTTTAAATGAATGGTGAGCTCTATTTTGTAAGTTAATTTTTTATAAGTACTAAGAAAGATAAATTGAAGAAATTTATTATTCTGCAACTGCCTAACACATTTCTTGAAAGCTTACAGAGTTTTGTTTTTGGCTCTTGTTAACTTTGCTAAGTACTTAATAAGGGCTTTCTATTAAATATTTCTGTATTGTGTTATGCCTAAGCAGTTTGGCCTGAAAAAAAAATAAATAGCATCTTCAAATTTTGTGGTGTAGAGAACAGAGGTGACAGATAGATAGCTAGATCCCTAGATGAATGTGTGTTATTGCTTGTAAAGTACCTCTGCTTACTGATAAGATTTTGAATTTGAAAAGCTCTCTGAAGGATTCTTGGCTAATTAAAAAATTTTAGATTTAGATCTGTGTCTTCATTAATCTACAGTGTGGTAACTTTTTTCTTACTAGGTTCTCTTTTTATCCAGATTTAGGACTACGCTAAGGTAAAAATGAAAATTTTTCATCGGATTCCATTTTAGCCATATAAATATATGATACTGTCACCTAATAATATATTTGTAGAAACTTTCAGAGGTGTTTCAATGGAATCCCTACACAATAACTACCTTTTTAAATTTTTTATTTTTTTAAAGATTTATTTATGGGAAAAAAAAGATTTATTTATGCATATGAGCTGGGGTGTGGGTCAGATGTGGCTGAGGGGGGTGAGAGGATTCACCAGAGACAGAGTAGGGAGCAGAACAGGTGGATTTACTGAAATACACTGCTGAGGGGAGCAGTGGCCAAGAC